GAACTGCCTCACCCTTCTTTGCCACGCTTCACCATCACCATGTGATCGGTGGCTGACGGCCTGAGCACGGAGCCTCGGGGAAACGTCTGATCACGATACCGCGCTTCATTTTGCTCTGGGCCAAAAAGCCTCGCTTCCCCCTGGATTATCTCGCTCATGTGACCGGGACCTACATTAACTTCTCTATTTATTTATTTAGATAATCATACCTCACTTTTCTCCCCAACGGGGACACAAAGTGGATTACAGCACCATTCTTCTTCCATAGCAGGGCACAGATCCAAGCCTGTCTCTCCCAGATCTTAGTCTGACACGGCGACTGACATACCACAAAGACTCTCAGCTTTCCCCTCTCTCCCTCCTTCTGCCAGCCTCTCCCTGGAAAAGTCTAGCCAAGTCACAAACGTTGTGCAGTAGCAAGTCACTCAGGTGAGCTGTGAGGTGGACACTGGCTGGGCCTGGTCAAGTTGCGCAAGTCTTGCGGTGGTTGCTATAGCATAGTAGTGAGTCACCAGGTGGTTGTCTCCGGGCCAGGGTTAGTCACGCAAGTCACATGGTACCTTGATGGACCAGTGGTCTGATTCAGTACAAGGCAGGTTTGTGCATTAAAAGGGAAGCACCAACACTTTAAATTGAGCCAAGGGACAGGCAGCCAGCGGAGAGGATTCAGGAACGGTGTCGTGTGGTCTTGAAGGGCAGAGTTGCAGTTTGCATGAGCTGCAGTTTTGGAAATTGTTTTCAAGAGCAGACCCACGTAGAGTGTGCACAACAATAACGTAGCCTTGAGATTACCACAGTATGGATCAGTGCGGCCGGATGAGAGGCCTGCAGAAATAAGCAAGTTTGTTTATAGCTGTGTTGGACCAAAAATGGGTGAGAAACTTCTGCCACACAGCAGCTTAGGGAAATGCCTTCTTTAAAAAAAACAAAAAAAACCCACACAGCAGCTTAGGGAAATGCCTTCTTAAAAAAAAAAACAGAGAGAGCCCAAATGGGCTTAAAATGGCGCCATGGGGGGTACTCCCCCCAAGTAATTTGCATGAGTAAAAATCACCCTGAGGGAGTTATTTCGCCAATTTCGCATGTACAGATGCTATGCAACTGTGGGGAACACGTGCTCTTTAAAAATTGTAATGCTTAATTTGGCTCTGAATGTGTATTAGAGCAATTCAATGACGTGCTTTTGAATTCCTTCATGTGAACTTAATGAACATTCAAGAACTTAACACCTGTTCCCCTCCCTCACCTCTGGGGAAAAGTCCTGCTCGGTCAGAACGGATTTCGTTGGAGGTCTGATCACTCTTTCAGCTGATCTGCACTGGACCTGGGCTCATTTTGCCGTGACAACATGAGAACATAGCAGGACGGGGGCTTCAACATACATCAGGTGTGAAAGGGAAACCATTATTAAAATCACCCTTGCAACAAAGGCCCAGTCCACATCTAGCATTTGCTCCGCTGTTTTACCAAACCCATACTGGAACAGAAAAAGATGCGGCTCAAAACCACATTTAGATACCTCGGGCCAACGCCGTACTGACTACAGATTTACCCCTGAATGGCCATAAAACGGCCATAAATCTATGCTACCATAAAACCGAGAGATCAAACGAAGTGAAAGAAGAAGACGAGATTGGATTTATACTCCGGCCTTCACTACCCAAAGGAGTCTCAGAGCGGCTTACAAACTCCTTCCCCTTCACCTCCCCACAACAGACACCCTGTGAGGTAGGTGGGGCTGAAAGAACTCTGACAGAAACTGCTCTTTTTCAAGAACAGCTGTGCCAGAACTATGGCTTGCCCAAGGTCATCTAGCAGGTGCAAGTGGAGGAGTGGGGAATCAAACCCGGTTCTCCCAGATTAGACTCTGCACACCTAACCACTACACCAAACTGGCTCTTTCCTTCTTAAAAAGGAAAGGGGCGCATTTACTGAGTTGGTGGCTTCTCAAAAGCTTGGGCTGTAAGATCAAGGCACAGCAAAGCTGATGTTCCAACCACTATACCAAAGTGGCATGCAGTCTGGACACTGTCATAAAATCCGACAATCGATCAGAGTGAAAGTGGCATGCAATGTAGAGGGGAATTTCTGTTCCAGCATGGGTTTGGTAAGACAGCAGAGCAAATGCTAGATGCAGATTGGGCCTTTGTTGCAAGGGTGATTTCACACAGCACCCAGAGCCAATGAAAATCACTCTGGTGGTGGAAGCAGCCCTGAACACAATAACTGTCAAGTGATTTCTAACACTTTACCTTCCCAAAAGGGAACTGCATCTTGCTGGATAAGAGGGAGGTTAGAGACTCCCAAGTGGAGATGCTGCTATGGTGTTTAATGCTACCCCCATCAATGCAGACATCAACACAATCAGCATCACCACTATCTTATCTTGATTCACTTTTTGGGTTATTCCCTCAGCACTTGACCATGGCGCTTAGGCACTGGTGATCTAATCAAAGTGATACACAAAAGGATGACACTTTAGTCCTAAACTACACAATGGGGTCACATGTAGATTTCAAACAATAACTGGGAAAGAACTTAACCCTGCTCCTCCCTCCCATTTCAGAACCCACAGGTCTGATTCTGCGTCTCTATCACCCCTTGGGTACTGCCAGTTAAAAAGGACCTCCCTCCTCTTCTGGGAGCTTCAGTTGTGTATCATTGTATTTGATCTCAGTAGCCCTTAGCATCAGAATGGCCTGAAGGTGTACTTGAGCACTCTGTGTAGATGAACTCGCTCCTCCCCAGGAACAGAAGCCACAAATAAAAAAGGCATGCATATCTGCATGATTCACGGACCACAAGATTCTTTTTTTGGTCAGAAATTTTCAGAATCTTTTTTTCCCCTTCAGATAAAGGTCAACTGTTGCAGCTTCAAATGGAAAGATCAATGTATGTCTTGTGCTTTCAAGGCATTCCAGAACAAAAAGGAGAAAATTTAAAAGAACTTTTAAGCGAAGCATTAGCACCAATGACAGAACTTAAACAAGATGTACTGCAAAACAATATGGATCTGACTTATCAGACCTATTGAGATTTCATCAAGAAAAATAAGCTACCTGGTGATAGTAAAATTCTCCAAGAAATCTACTAGAGAAGCTGTTTTGAAAGCTACATCTGGGAAAACCTTGAAAGTAAAAGATGAAGAAGTGAAAATTTTAAAGGATATTCCATTTGAGGTGCGGAAGCGAAGGCGACAATATAAAGACTTAACTTTCTTCCTTCATAATAACTCAATTTCATACAGATGGACATTTCCAGAAGGACTTGTGTTCAACTATAAAGATAAGAAGACCAAGATTGACTCTGTTCAGAAAGCCAAAATTTTTTTGGAACAGCAACAAAACCCGAACAAAGATGAAAGAAAGACGGAGGACAACAATGAAGAAGATGATAAAAGTGATTGTGAATCTGAAGATACATCAAGGAGCTCTGGCAGTACCTCTGAGGTCTCAGTTTTGGAAAAAGGAGTAGCTGCTCCCAAATCACTTAAAGTTAAACTGAAATACAAGATGAAAAAGTGTGGAAAACAAACTGGAAGTTCAATAGAACATAAACGACTATAAAACACCTATAGATTTGTATTAAAGACTCAAGCCAGCTTTATCTAGAAATCAATACCTTTATATAGTACCTTTGTTATTATTGTAGGTCCTGATATATAAGAATGTAATTTCTTAAATATGATCCTTGTCTTAATTTAGCTTCTGTATTAGTTTTAGAGCTTCCTTTGCCCCTTCCCCATAGGATGTAGTATATAAAAGCAATAAAAAAATTTTTTTAAAAAGAAATTTTCAGAATCTGATTACCTTTGCAAAGTATTTTAGCTTTTTAAAACCTGTTTCTGAATAGACTCCTGCTACTACTCTGTCCTACAGCCAAATGAGACAAAAGGGGTGGTTTGTGTGAAGAGGGTTCTTAACGTTTACCTAGCGTGAGGGGCTGTTAGAAGGAAATGCCACCGGAGCACTTTAGGGACTCAGCTGTCCTTGTGGCCAGTTTCCAGAGGTTCAGTATGCTGTAACAGAATTTATTTAAGATGACCTCCTACCTCCTCACTGCCTCCCACACTTTGATGCCGTCGTCCCGAAAGAAGTAGTACGGAATCTCCTCAGTGCTCTCCATGCGTCTTGCTTTGATTTCTTCAGGGAAGCAGAGGGAGCTGTAAGTGAGGTACTTCATTGCTCGCTGGACCATCTGCACGTGCCCACCTCCTCCAGTGGCATTTGCCTGTGATACCCAAAAGAACAAGCAAAGACAGTTACACGATCCCGTAAACGAAACCGCCTAACAGAGGTCAGGATACCGTGTCCCAAATGTAAGTGGCTGGCACTGGAAGATGGGGAGGTGAGGTTTCACCACTGGATGCTTGACCACAGTGTGCACTGGGGCCCCAGCACCTGCCTTACACAGTCATGGCATAGTGGGGGGAGACTTGGGGGCATTATTAAGGTCACTGCAAATGCTTGCCCTTCATGTGCCACAGATGAAGGCAGGCTGGTCCTCATCTCCAAGGCATGGCCAAAGGACACAAGTAACCTTACTAGCATAAGCAAGACTGAAGGACTGGAATTTGTTTGTAGACAGTCAGAGAACAGAGTAGTCTTTTTCAGGTACAGAGTAAGAACCTCGATACAAATCCTTCCCTCAAATTCAACTGTTAGTAAATGTTTAATTACTGAAGTTCTTAGGAGTCTGGTAGTACCTCGAAGACTTAACAAAAATGTATTTCAGCATAAACATTTGTGAGGCAGAAAACATGGTTGCACTTACCTGTAATTGTTGCTGAGTGATCACCTGTGCAATCACACATGGGTATTGCAGATGTGCAGGCCTGTTGCACTTACCTGTAATTGTTGCTGAGTGATCACCTGTGCAATCACACATGGGTATTGCAGATGTGCAGGCCTGCTGCAGAGAGGTTCTGGAAGCTCAAAAACACCAGAAGATGCTCCTTTTCCCTCCCCCATGCGGCTTCCCAGCATGATTAGGAGGAGAAGAGCACCCTTCCCTCAGTTTCTTGCTGCCCATCAAAAGAGAGAAAGCTGAACTCATTTAGTAAGACAGTAGAGCTCACAGCAGGGCAGGAGGGAGGGGTCTGCGACTGCACAGGTGACTACTTAATGAACAACAGTTACAGGTAAGCACAACCATCTTTTTGTCATCATGGTACCTGTGCAGTCCGACATGGGAGAACAGTGAGGTGATTTGCATCGAAGGCGGGTGCATCTTTTTGTCATCATGGTACCTGTGCAGCCCCACATGGGAGAACAGTGAGGTGATTTGCGCTCTAACCGAACAATCACTGAGGCACCATTTTGTCAGTTGTCAGGACTTTGTCAGTTTTAGTGCTAAATAAATCTGTCTCCTCCAAGGGGAGTATCTCACTCCTAGCATGAGACTCATTTAGCATTGCCATTGAGTGCAGCTAGGAATAATGGCAGAGGGAAAATGCTGTAGAGAGACTGCAGGCCACACAATCAGCTACATGTCTTGCTGAGGCGATGCCTAGGGATGGGCACGAACTGGCTCACAAACTTAAGTTCATGACAAATTTTGGTCAGTTCGTGGATTGCAAAGTGAAGTTTGCGGCAGGTCAACTGGCACAGTTTTCCCACAAACTTTCAAGCTGTTCATGGCGGTTTATGTCAGTTTGTGAACAAATACATTTCTGGAAAGATTGCCACCGCTCAATCAAACTGCTTACCAAACGTCAAAGCAATAACTTGGAGGACATGGGGGGGAGCATCTGGGGGAGGTCCCCTGCACCTTTGATGTCTGTGCTGGTTCACTAGCTTGCATAAGGTCTGTTCTATACACTTCTGAACCTGCACCTTTGATAGGCGGTCATTTTGACAGGCGCAGGTTCAGGAGTGTATAGAACAGATCCTATGCAACTTAGAGACACCAAACTCACAGAGACTCTCTCCAAGTTTGGTGTCTCTAGCTTGCACATTCTATACACTTCTGAACTTGTGCCTGTCAAAATGACCGCCAGGCGAAGGTTCAGGAGGGTTCAGGAGTGTACAGAACAGATCTTGTGCAAGTTAGATACACCAAACTCACACCCCCCCCCCAGATGCTCCTTTACATGCCCTCCAAGTTTTTGCTTTGAAGTTCAGTAAACGTTTGGATTGAGCGGAGACAGTCTGCCTGGGAATGTCTCCACTGACAAACCAGCACAAATCACCACAAACAGCTTGAAAGTTCGTGGAAAGGTCCTGCCGGGTGACCTGCCACGAACTGGAATTCGCAAAGCACGAACTGGCCAAAATCCATCATGAACTTTAGTTTGTAAGCTGTTTCATGCCCTTCCCTAGTCTCCGTACAAAACACATGTTCTGGCAACAAGATACAACTGCTCCCATGTAACCCCACAAGCAGAATTTACTGACCAGTCTCCTCACATTCGTTACCACTATAGTCTCTTATTGTTTCCACCGCTTTTATGTACCTACAATAAAATGGCTGCCTGGTCCCTTCTGGCAACTGGCTTCAAAAGGGGAGTGGACAAGTTCATGGAGGACATGGTTATCAGTGCCTACTATCCTTGACCTGGATGGCCAAGGCTGGCCTGATCTCATCAGATCTCAGAAGCTAAGCAGGGACTTATGGACTTCCTGGAGGTATTTGGATGAGAGACCACCAAGGAAGTCCAGGGTCGCTATGCAGAGGCAGGCAATGTCAAACCACCTCTGAATGTCTCTTGCCTTGAAAACCCAACGGGACTCACCATAAGTCAGCTGTGACTTGATGGTGCTTTCCACCACCACCACCACCACCACCACCACCACTAGCCATGATGTATATCGACTCCATCCAGTACTAGAGGCAGTATGCCTCTTTATACCCACTGCTGGGGACCATGGGCAGGAGGAGGCTGCTACAGTCAACATACTTATGGACTTCCTGGAGGCAACTGGTCAGCCACTGTGTGAATAGAATGTTGACCTTGATGGGCGCTTGGTCTGATCCTACATGGCATTTCTGAAGTTCTTATATTCTTATGCATGGTGGTTGAGAGGGGAAGGAGTGTTGGTGCTCCGGGGCACATGGGGTGGAGCAGCGGAGACAGAAGGCTATGCAACTTAGAGACACCAAACTCACAGAGACTCTCTCCAAGTTTGGTGTCTCTAGCTTGCACATTCTATACACTTCTGAACTTGTGCCTGTCAAAATGACCGCCAGGCGAAGGTTCAGGAGGGTTCAGGAGTGTACAGAACAGATCTTGTGCAAGTTAGATACACCAAACTCACAGGGGGTCTCTAGCTGACTCTCCTCTGCCTGCCCTCCAAGTGTGTTGAGGATTGGATTTACAGGGTCAGAGTTACAGCCGCAAAGAAGGTGCTCCCAGGAAAGTGCATTCTGGGGAAATGACAGGATCTATTCTACCGGTTCATTTGGCTGCTAAAAGTTCATGATGGTCTGTGGTTCATGAAACGGGCACACCATGAACTGAACCGCATTTTCCCAGTTTGTGCCCATCCCTACTGATGCCTGGACAGCTTCGACGCACCAGGAGCTTAGCAGTTTGTGCTTGCCCTCCTGAAAGAAGTTCCAAGTAGGGGGCTATGCTATCCCATAAGAACAGCTCCCATTGCATCATACAGCATCCATTACTGGAAAGATAACTGGCCCAACAGAGCCTGGATGTATGGCCTTAAACACCGGATTGGTGGCTCTTGGGGAAGTAGAAGAGGCTGAGCATAATCATAATATGGATTGGAACAGAATTGAGCCTCTATGTGCCATTGTGGGGAAGATCAAGGTCTCTTTCCTGGCTGCAGAAGGACCATGGGAGACATCACCTGGATCAGATCCAAGTGGAGCATTTGGATCCAAAGCCAGGGGATTGTAATAACCATCATAGCGGTCTTGATATAAAGAGCATGATGGGGACACAACATGCTGCTGGATCTGATTGATGTGACAGATCCAAGCAGTGGACAACATGGTAGCTCACTTCTAACACTGAGTGTGTTGAGATAGGAAAATGGCCCAATGGAGAAGGCATTCTCGAAATAGGCATCCGCTCTGTGACAGCTTCAAGCAGTTTCTCCTTAACTGATTCTTGAGAACAGAACAGAATTGAAACCAAGGATGACTTGACCAAATTTGACAGCCTTTCAGAATTGCTTATGTTTGTGCCAAGCCTTTTTTGCTGGCAGCTCTGAGCCACTCCATCTGGGCAACGCCAGAGAGGAAGCCAGGGCCTCAATTGGAGCCATATCTTGAACCAAAGGGCATTCAACAATTATAGCCCATTGAAGAACCTAGCTGTAAGCATACCTTCATAATGAAGTGAATCAACAGTGATACTTTCAATACGTCACCAAGAAAAATGAATTGTTGAAAGACAGTTTATGTATACATCCTTGTTCAGAAGAAGATCGTTGTCGAAACGGCACACCATTCCGGAGACCACCGTCTACATTCACTAAATATATTGTTCACCTTTTTGTTATTGTATATTATGATTTATGAATATATTATCAGAGTCAAATTGTCACAGTTTTTTCTTTTTCTTTTTTCACTGGTCTATTAACTGTGCCCATCCTTGTGACTATTCTTTGTAAACTAGCTACATACAGGGCACTTAGAAACACGTTATTTGCTGAGGCACAGAAGACACAGGATGCAATCATCAGTGTAAGGAAATTTTGTCCTGCAGGATATACACTTCCTGCAAAGGGCATTTGGGGCCATATTTTTGAGGTCTAGCTCTGTAATCTATTAAGCTTATGTTTGTTTGTTTGTTTCAAATGTAGATCTAGTTGGGTCATTTCAGTTTTACCAGTTGGATGTAGTGGTTAAGTGTGCGGACTCTAATCTGGTAGTACCGGGTTTGATTCCCCACTCCTCCACTTGCAGCTGCTGGATGACCTTGGGCAAGTCATAGTTCTGTCAGAGCTGTTCTCTCTAGGGCACTGTTCTGGAAAGAGCTCTCTCAGCCCCACCTACCACACAGGGTGTCTGTTGTGGGGAGGGGAAGTGGAAAGAGTTTATAAGCAGCTCTGAGACTCTGAGTGAAGGGCGGGGTATAAATCCAATCACCACCACCACTACCACCTCCTCCTCTTCTTCTTCTTCAAGGGATTTTTGTCCCACAGGATATACACCCCTTGAAAAGAACATCTTGGGCCACATTTCTGAGACCTGGCTCTATAACATAGGTATCTTTGCCCCACACAGGGTGTACCCTTCTTTTAAAAAGTATCTTGAGAACACATGCAGAAGGGGCAAATGCCCTCCCACTGGTGAAAATGGCCCATAGAGAAGCCCGAGTCCTCCTACCCCCCTCTTACAGCACTTGGAGCCACACCGAGCAACCCAGCACTTTATAAAGGTGAGCCATGATGATTTTGTATTGGTATTTTAATACTAATTGGAAAATGTTTAACTTTTAAATTATTTTATTATGATTCATCTTGGTGGAATCTCCACCTTCTCCAGTATTGTTGCTATAAGCTTTTCTTTGCTAATGCAATAAAGACTGATTGATTGATAAGGGTGAGCCGCAGAGTGCAGCGTGGGACATGACGGTGAACCCCCAGTATGGTTCATGTCACCTATATCATTTAGATGCTTCCTGAGTGGCCCTCGCCAATCCTATGAGGCCGAATGGCTTTCTGTTTTGAGTACATTTTAAGAACATAAGAACATAAGAGACGCCAATGTTGGATCTGGCCAAAGGCCCATCCAGTCCAACACTCTTTATCACACAGTGGCCAGAAATACCAGTGCCATCAGGAGGTCCACCAGGAGGCCCTCCCACTGTTGAACCCCCCAAGCACCAAGATGACAGAGCATCACTTGCCCCAGAGTCCCTATCTATACCTTGTGGCTAATAGCCACTGATGGGCCTCTGCTCCATATGCTTATCCAGCCCTTTCACCAAAGAGCCCAGGGTGGCATACAGCCACCTCTCCCCCCCCTTCTTTTTTCCTCACAACAATCCTGTGAGGTAGGTTGGGCTGACAGGCTATGACTGGCCCAAGGTAATATAGCTTCACAGCTCAGAGGGCACTCCGCTGTGGGTTTCTAAGGTTTTAGTCCAACCGTTATAAGACAGTGTGTCTCCAGGCAACTTGAATTAAATTTGGATTCAGATAGCTATGTTTAAGGACTCCAGAGGTAACGAGAAAGGAAAGCTAATTCCTTCCTTTTTGCTTCAAGGTACAATATTCAAAGAAACGTTATTGCATCTTCAAAGAAGCCGATTATAAATCAACTTTGCTTTGTTTAAGGGAATACTATTTGCCAGCAGCTGCACTTGTTTCTCCGGGTTATTGTAAACTGACTAGTGCCTTGTCTAACTCTACAGTATCTGCAACTGAAGCAAGGGAATCTGTAGCCAGAGAAACTGATGAAAGCCCACAGGCACTAACATTATTAAAGGAAGAGGAGGAAGTCTGACATTCTGGCAGTTAATATATATGATAAACCACATGGAAAAAATGGCTTATTGTGTTTTTTACTTCCTTTGTACCGTCTTTTTCCCCAATAAGGACCCACAGTAGCTGTAGTGTATTCAATAGCTGCCATTGAATGCATGATGTATGTGAAACATCTAATTGACTTGCCATGTTTATCTTCGTCCTGGGTGTAATGTATTGAAACGATTACATGAATCACCTCATAGGACTCCTATGTTAAGCTTCGAGCCAGACCAGGGCTCCTCTGAGCGAACTTCCTATTGGTCGCTTCGTAACAGCGACCAATCAGAACGATACCATTCCCTAGGAGGGAAAGACTCCCATTGGTCCTTAACTAAGCAATCTCATTGGTTGTTAATTGTAAATAGGCGTGGCTACATTAGCCCGGTTATGTTTAAAAGGAGCATAAGCTCCCACTGTTTTCTGTTCTGGTTTCTTACTGAGTTAGTGCTTGGCTGAATCACTCTCCGACTTCTTTGTTAAGCGAGCAACTTAACAGTAGCTTATGTTGTTCTCCCCTCCTCCTCAATTTTATCCTCACAAAAAGTCTGTTTAGGCTGAGAGAGAGTAGCCAGCCCAAGGTCACTCAGCAAGCTTCCACAGCAGAGGGGAGACTCAAACCTGGGTCTTCTGGACCTAGTCTGCCATATTTAGGGTTTCCAGACTCCCGGTCCGGGCAGGGAATCCACTGATTTTCGAGGGTTCTGTCTGCCACCGGCCAGCTGGCCGGCAGGGGAAGCCCCACCCCAAACAGCAACATCACCCAGCAATATCCCTGACTCTGACATCCCATGACGATGCTCTGCATTTTGGGCAGAACTCTTATGGTTTGACCCCAATGTTAACCATAGAGTTTGAGAAGTACTGGGTTCGCCGCATGGAGGACTCGGACAAAGATATGCGGTTGCAGGGGTCGTCACACACACGTTTATTGTACTTAACACAAGACTAAGACTAACTCTAATGGCCCGACAGGGCCAACTATATACATATCCACCCAGCACCCCCTATTCCCATCGGAGGGTTTGAATGTCCCGCCAAAGTGGCTATTGGTTGGGGCTGGGGGGAACCAGGATCGAAAGTTTCCTTTGTTCCAGGAGTCAAGCTCCTGCATGTGCAGCGGACCCCTGGTGGCGGTCCACGTACATAACAGAGTTTGCCCCACAAGCAGAGCATCGCCATGTGGCATTGCCAATGCGATGACGTCACTTCCACGTAACATCATCACATCAGGGAAGTCGCCACCCACTGCCTTCCAAATTTCCCTGCCGGCGTGACGATCATGCCTGGCAACCCTAGCCATACTGACTACTACACTACACTGAACATTTCACACATGACCCGTTTGTTATCATTAAGGAATTTGCACCTATGGGGGAAAGAACCTTTACCTGTGGGCTCAGATAAAGAAAGAATCCCATGTTATTACTAGTTGAATAAATTTAATTTTAAGTACAAATGCTTTATTTATTTATACAGATTTAAACCGCCCTCCCCTGAGGAACAGGGCTTAGGGTGGTGTACATCAGTATAAAATAATTAAACAAAATCATATTTTAAAAAACAGAATATATGATACAACAACAATAATCAGATGGCAATGATACGGCCAGAGTATGCCAGTGCCTCGTGGGGAAGGGAGGCAAGAGAAACAGGAGTGATTAAGTGGTTAAGTAATTTATTAAATGGAATGCAGGTTAAAAATATTAGAACATTATTAAAATCCAAGCAAATTAAACAATCCAGCTTTTTAAAAATTTGTTTTTAGTAAGGTAACATTGCTTTATGTCTCAGTTAATTACTACTCTCAGCATTCCACAATTAAGGATACATCTGCCCATCATTCTCCAAGTTTGACATATTTATTTCCTTTACTATGTTTTCCCGTGGAATTAAACCCAAACTAATGACAACCATATAAACTAAGCTTGTTATTCCTGTTTGGTCCTTGAATCTGTTAAGCATCTTCATTCATTCGTTAATAAATGGAATACATTAATTAAACCCTATTGGTCTTAAAGGTGCCACTAGACTCGAACTTTGTTCCATTGCTTTGTGTCTTACAATTTCTTCTTAAGCTCTCCATGCTACAGTGGCATGCTGTCTCCGAAGTGACAACAGCAATATTCAGTCAACAAGCTGTGGCCATACCACAAAGGGGAAAGAAGAAACAGAAGACTTTGATCTTTGTATGTTATGCTGTGCAATGATTCTGACTGTTCTATGCCTAAGTAAATAAAGAAATTTTGTCTCGCGAGTCATGGTAAAAATTAATTTTTGTACACTGCCATACCAAATCTCTAGTACCCTCAAGGTTTTAATTGCCTTTTGTGTAAATTGTAGAATCATCACCTTTAATGAGATGTGCATCTGGTTGTCTTTTGCATACCCATTCGCTTATCTGGCATTACAATGCTGTATCTTTATCCTTTTAGCCGTTTTTCTATGAACAATGCAATTTTCTTAAACACGATTATGATACTGTCATCTTAAAGTTTTCCACAAACTGTACTTTTATTTATTTACATTATTTATAGTCTACCTTTCTCACTCAGACTCAAAGAGGATTACAGAGTGAGTTAATACAATCGATGGATGGGACATTCAGTAAACATTGCAATAGGATTAAGGTTGCAGAACCAACCAGAAATCTAAAAACAACTGAAGCAAACTATTAATATGACACATTAAATGATGCAGAATTCCACAGTAGGGTCCTAGTTTCAGCAAGCTGTACACAGTAGGATAGACCACAAGTCTCTAATAATTTTTCTAAGTAACTTTGTGAATCATATAGTACAATCCAAGTCTATTGTCTGAGTAGAAAAGCCCTCTTGAATCATTCAGTTCTGAAGTGTTTTCTGGGGGCACGGATATTTAAGGGGATATTATTAACTGAGGAAGAATTTATATAAACACGTGTTTATATGAACTCACAGTATGCATATTTGTACATTTACAACATCCTTCTCAGTGGGTTGAATCCCAAATGTCTCCCACTATCAGAAGGTCATTTCTGTCGGTGGAAAGGAAGGGGACAACTTCTGCTAAGTCCCCCTCCCAAAATAGACCCCCATCTCACCCCCACACTATTTCTGAGTGTCTCCCAGCCCCAGCATTTTGGGGGATTCCAATGGGAAAGAGGAGGTGGGGGAAAAATCTGTTCCCTAAGTGGAGCTCTTCTCACAGACCTTCAGATTCAACCCAGTGTTATCAGTTCTATCTTTATGTTCTTTTAAACACAAGGTATTTTATTATGGTGGACATTTGAGTGTACTGCCTAACTCGCAAGTTCCATGCTTTATAAGCATTTTGTCTTCTTCTTGACACGTATACCATCAACTCTACCAACATAGTGGGCTCTCCAATGTGAAAGGCCCACTCTTATGCCAGGGGTTTGGGGTAACATCCTTCTTGTCCCTTCCAATCGTAAGAAAGTGGTTTGAGAACACTGATCGTAAGTAAAACTGGCTCACCTTGTCAAATAGACCGTATTCACAGATGAGTTGCTCCCGGGCTTTGGTATTGATGGCAATTGTAAACCGCGCATGGGGTACAAGGAGCTGTAAATTAAAAGGAGCTCTGGATGAAATATCCCTTACAACTTTACTAAAGCAACATGATTTATTCCCAAGGTGATTATTTCACACAGCAAACCTCACAACCTGAAGTCAAGGTTCTGACCTGTATGAACTGCATAAAATGCCCACAAAGACAATGAAGACAAACATATTCATTTTCAGCTCAATGCAAAACCGGGTGCCTAAAATCAAGACTGTTATATGAGAAACTAGGAAAAGGGCCCGTTGTGGAAATAAATACAACGGCCTCTAGAAAGAGGACACTCAGTGTCAATTTGCTGTGGCGACCTCAGCAGGGTATAATGACACTGAGTCCACCATTTTCTCCAGAGGAACTGATCTCTGCCATCGGGAAAGCCGAAAGTATAAATAAATAAATATAATAAATAAATAAAGAACAGTTGTAATTTTGAGTGATCTCCAGCCCTCACCTGGAGATTGGCAACAATGGTTCCCCAGAAGGGAATAGTTGGTTTGCAGGGTGGAGTCTATGGCTTTGTACCTGTCTGAGGTCCCACGCCTCCTGAAACCTCACCCTCTCCAGGCTCCATCCCTCACATCTCCAGGAATTTCCCACCTGGAGTTGGCAACCCTTTCTCCTTCCCAGCCAATCATCAACCTACCTTTATTTCCCCCTCACTCTTCAGCTTTCCACCCCCCACACACCTGCAGCCTCTCCCATGCTCTGAAGCCCTGACTGCTACGTCACATTGGCTGTCATACGGGGGCCACCTCAGCAGCATATAAGGATACAGAGCCCACCATTTTCTCCAGAGGAACTGATCTCTGCCATCGGGAAAGCAGTTGTAATTCTGAGTGATCTCCAGCTCTCACCTGGAGATTGGACACATTTTACCTCAGAACAGCAAAACTGTTTAGAATGTTAGAGGCAAAAGCCAATCAAGTCACATATGCAAACGACCTCTGTGTTCTGAGGCAGAGGCCAATGAGGCTGCATATGCAAATAACCTCTGTGTTCTGACTGGCTATGGGGGGGAGAGGATTAGCAAAATGTTTAGAATGTTGGAGGCAGGACTCAGGCAAAGCAGCCAGTGAATAGGGAGACCCTCTGAATGACAGATCAGAGAGAAATCTGATTTTGGAACGTGTGGAATGTTCTAGAGAAGTGCCACCACCATTCGGCTTTTATTTATAAGGGAGATATGATTTTTCATACAATCAGTGCATGCAGCATACAAATACTGATAAAGTTGTAAGGACCTCAATTCCCTGTTTTACAGGTGGTGGGCATTTATCTCTCCAGTGTTATAATATAAGACTTTTAGGTGCAGTTAGGCATGCAGGGTCCATTTTTACTGACCATCACTTAGCCTCCAAGAGACGGGTGGAAAGATTAAAAATACATAAGCATCCTTAAAAATCAATGAACATTCTAATGCAGAATTGGTATGAGTAATAACTTCCTCCTAGTAAAACCAAATGACTGGACACACCCAACATTAAGGGACACAAAAGCCAGCAATTAAGACACTTTACTCAATCCTTTACTAAAGAGTCACTGAGGTGTCCAATATATCCTTAATATAGGGGTTTTTTTTGCTAAATAAGTCACAACCTAAGATCCATAGAGAGAGCAGCTATAAACTTTAAGGCTATATCCCACCGCTTTGGCAAAATGGGGTTGGCTCCTTATTCCATTCACTCTGGAGACTCTGCACAGTGTATTTATTACTCAACATAAAATATTTATAAACAAATATTGTAGATTTCATTTTCTGCATAAAATCAATTAGCGTTTCCCGGAGCAAAGGGGAATCTGAGACTTTAATGCCACAGGGCCATATTTAGATAACCAACAGACCTTGCCGTTGTAAATATTGTCATTCAACAGAAGTTGACAAGTCCTACCTAGACCTCAGCTGACAAAATGACAGAAACTCATCATCATAGTCTATCAATTAGTCCAACGTAAAAATCCCCCTATAAGTCCAAGTTTTCCATTAAAAAAGATTGCTTTCCCATTTTTAGGTCTCGGTTGGCCCGTTAGCATATGAAAACGGGTTAAACTGATATTGTTCTCTAGCTGAAGTACAGGATTCACTCTAGCATAAGAAGACCCGAATGCATTCTGCTTAGAGAGGGGCACCAGGCAACGATGCCTCCAAAAGATCCCAAGGTGGATAGTTTCAATTAGTCCAACGTAAAAATCCCCCTATAAGTCCAAGTTTTCCATTAAAAAAGATCTCTTTCCCATTTTTAGGTCTCGGTTGGCCCGTTAGCATATGAAAACGGGTTACACTGATATTGTTCTCTAGCTGCAGACATTGCAGTAGGAATAGGATTCACTCTAGCATAAGAATACCCTAATGCATTCTGCTTAGAGAGGGGCACCAGACAACGATGCCTCCAAAAGACCCCAAGGTGGATAGTTCAACCACAAAGAGTGATCCCAATAATTAGTACAAACTAACAAATATGCCTGATGATATAAACTAAGATCAGGGAAACCAAAGTCTCCTTCACTGAATGGGAGTTGCATCCTCTTTAAAGAAATCCAAGGAAGTAAGGAACCCCACATAAATCTCTGAAACATTAATTTAATGAATATATCTGCAAGGTATATGGAAAGGAATTACATCTAAAATATAAATAACCCTAGGTATAATAATGGTTTTGGGTATATTTATTTTGCCCCACAAAGACAAGTTTAAGGTTGCCCTTCTGTACAAATCTAAAGAGATCAGAAATTAGCTTGTTAAAATTTAGCATAATCAACGCGGATAAGTGAACAGGGAAGGAAATTAAAACTTACAGAAGACTGTTTTTTTTAAAAAAAATGACAAGAAGGAAGCCACACACACTACTGGCTGTTCTTTAAAATGCTACGAGAATTAAAGACAGAACAACAATCTCTGCTGAACGCCAACTTTGGAGAGTGATGAAATGGGCCCATTTTTTAGATATGGAATGACAACAGCAGAAACTTTGGTGTCCCATCCTTGAACAAGCACCCCCACATGCAACTGTCATCTTGGGGCAAAGTAAAACTCATTTCTAAATTCATTTCCCTAACTGCAATGAAATTCAAAGTGGCTGTTGATTGGAGGGATTTGGGAATCAAGGCGACAAAGGACACTGCTCCTTCTCCCTTCCACTTATCTTGTCATTATTTTCCTTTCTAAATGCCCAGTTCTCTTGTCATCATTGGAGTCAGATCGCCTCTGTAACTCATTTGAACAGCATTTTCCCCCTTAACTGGGAAATCCAGAGGATTGGGGATACTGTGTAAAACCTCTGTGCCAGTTTGGTGTAGTGGTGAAGTGTGCGGACTCTAATCTGGGAGAACCAGGTTTGATTCCCCACTCCTCCACTTGCACCTGCTGATGTGACCTTGGGTCAGTCACAAGCTCTGGCACAGCTGTCCTTTAAAAAGAGCAGTTCTCAGTCAGAGCTCTCTCAGCCCCACCCACCTCACAGGGTGTCTGTTGTGGGGAGGGGAAGGGAAAGGAGTTTGTAAGCCGCTCTGAGACACCGAGTGAAGGGCGGGGTATAAATCCAATCTCCTCTTCTTCTTCTTCCTCTTCCAAGGCAATTGATTTTGGAGCAGCAATGGCTAGTAGGGCTGGACTGAGTGAACAATGTTTCTTTAATCTCTTGCAGGATTTCTTACATTTTTGTCCATGCTATATAGGAACTTAATATATTGACAATGAAAGAGATAACAGGAAGCATTTGGGGCAAATAACTGCTACCCCTGGAAACATCCCTGCCAACACTAGCCTACCTTGAAAAGAGGATGGACACCTGGCAGCTGACGGAACATGGCCACGGCAAACACCTCTGAAACTAAATGAGTCCGAAGGAGATGTGTGACAGTCTGATGCACATGGAAGTCTGAAGACCGAGCCCAGATCTTGGCTAATAACCAGTCATACTTAGCATCTGATGGAAGGAAAATGGGATTGTCTGGGCCAGGAGTCTGATTGATCTGCAGAGAGCGACAACACAGTTAAAAGAGTTTCTACAGTGACGACACAAACTATTCTGTTAATGAGCAGCAAACGGGTTTACCTGGATAGCAATAGGGACAATCTTCTTCTGCAAGTTCTTATATAATAAACAGATCGGAGCAGCTAAGTATTGTACTGTGCAGGGGTCTGTCTTATTGCCTTCAATGCCATCCAGGAGTTCATAATCCACTATGAAAATATTCCCTTGCTGCAGAAGTGGTTAAAAACAGCATATTAGTTTAGCTGTATTTGAATTAGGGTATCCTTCTCATGTGTCCGTCTGAAATGGGGATTTGGGGCACTGAAATCTAGTGGGTCAGTTTCCTACTTTCAGATTGTTACCATAATAACTGCTCAGGGGTGCTGGGAGGCAAATTGCTCAGCAGTGGAATTTTGCTTTGGTGTTTGCTGGGCTTTGTCCTGTCTCCTGTGCCATTAAGCATCTACATGAAGCTACTAGCAAATGTTGCTTGGGGATTTGTGGTATGGCATTACCAGTACACACACTTTAACTATGTTTCTCTTTTTCATTTAAGGCAGGAGATGCTCTGGATGGATTGGTACTAGGAAGCAGTAATGGGATGGATGTGGAGGGAAAATCCATTGACTGAAGCAGCAATGGCCTGTGGGGTGGAGCTCAGGAGAAAGTGAATGTAGTCTGTTTCTACAAAACTAGCACAAGTATTTTCAAAGAAAACCTTTTAAATGGGAGTTAAATAAATGTGACCATTAAATGTTTGTACCGTTATCTCTTCTTCCAAGGTCAGATTCCTCTCCAAACTGCATTCTACCATTTCTGTGGTCACTGGAAACTTTTTGGGTAGTTCTGTGCACTTTTGGATCATTACAGGATTGCACCCATTCAATAACTGGTATCCAAACATGAAATCTTCCTGCCAGTGCTGCATCACATACTCTAAATGAAAGAAAAAAAAACACACGAATACAAAGTCCAAAGGTTGAGGGTTTTTTTAGCAGCACTACTAGCACAGGATATTCATTGTTTGCATCAAACTATTCAAAATGAATGAAAGTCTTCTGTTCCTTTTTAGCGTAATTGAATCTATCACAATCTGGAAGGGGTCCCATGGGTCGTCTTCTCCACACTTCTAAATAACCTGCACTTAAAGAACTCCCAACAAACGTTTCCCAGTTTGCCCAGCCTGCATTCTGCAGCTGCTAGAATGCAAACAATGTGGAGAGACAAAGAACTAAGAGACGCTCACAGAAAACAATCACGTTCTCAGCTTCTTTTCTTGTAGCAGTTCACAGGTGGATAACAGTGGGAATTCTGCAGAGAAGGAGGTAGGAGAGTTCTGGTAGTGTCCCCCCCCCCCAATCAGCTACCCATATATCTCTTTTCTCTCTCTCTGTCTCTGTCTCTGTCTCTCTCTCTCTCTCTCTCTCTGTCTCTGTCTCTCTCTCTCTCTCTCTCTCTCTGTCTCTCTCTCTCTCTCTGTCTCTCTCTCTCTCTCTCTGTCTCTCTCTCTCTCTCTCTCTCTCTCTCTGCTTCTTTAAAAGATTCTGGAAATCTTTAAAAGTCTCTGGAAATGAGAGGGAAAGGTCTTTTGTTTTTTGGTCTTCTTAACCTCTTCAGTTGTGCTCAAGCCATGACGGACTAAGCTCTTACAATAGGATGCCATCTTGACCACATGTAGAGGGATGATGGGTAGAGGCCCCAGACTCTGAGACCTAAGATAATGGAGGATTTTAAATGCTGCAACTTTAAGCGTTACTAGCCTATTCTAATTCAACAGCATTTAGGGTTTAGAACAGCGTTTGCAGGACTTTGTTTTTCCACTGTTTCCTTTCATCCTTTCTCAGCCTGATGCTCACACAGACCATGTGTACACTTTTTATTTGTATATTAAACTTCCTTGTAATTTGAATGTCGCAAGCCTGATCTCTGTACCCACACCACACATAATTTAGCCACATTTCCTGAAAAGCACCAAAGCAACAGCTGAGCTTACCATTCCCAAAAGGTGAAGGTGCAAAAGTATGACAGAACACCGTCACATTAGCTAGTACAAGTGGAGCAGGCGATGCAGTAAATAGCAGAGCCTTTAAATGGCTATGCGGCAAAGTGTGCCAGAAGTACTAATCCTTTTAAGCAGAAGATACTTTTCTGGATCATTTGGTGGCAGTGGACAATACCCAGAGAGAGTTTGGTAAACTGGGAGTATAAGGGAAGAGTAAAGGCGTAGAGGTTTGGGATGGTAGCGGAACTTTTCACACTCTTGAATGAATAGGAATAGAGCTTGAGAGACCATTCCCTAACAAGCCATTTTTGGAGACTTCCTCTGCTAATGGAGGACCCAAAATGAGAGCCCTCTCCCTTCCCCACAAAGATTCTCTCTTGAGTATCTTCCTGAAATTTCTGCCATTCCAAACTAACAAAGGACTGTGTCCCCTCATTAACGTACCATCAGACACCCTCTCCTTCTATCTGTGGAAAATTACTGGCCTCCTAGGGGAACCCTGACCCAACACGGCAAATGTCACATCTAATTTTAGTTCTGTAAAATCTCTATTAGTCTATGGCTTACATGTGAGGTCCTTAAGCTACAGGAACACCTTTTCTTTCGTTGGCTATTCCCTATTAACATTGGTATTTTCTAGCCAGGCAGGTGAAAGCTAGTGAGAGAACCTTGTTCTACAGCCTTTTGTCTACCTTGGGAAGGCTGTTTTCCTGATAACTTCTCTGCATTAGTATAGTAGAAAGGCTCAACATCCTGTCCAAGAGTAGAGATGTATAATATCAATAGCCTTGTTTACGAGTTTGTTGAAATAAAGCACTTTGGAAAGCCTCATCTATCTTTCCCTTGCTCGAAAGCCAGACGAATCCAACTCTAGGGATGCGGTGCTCATCTCTGTTTCCAAGCCGAAGAGCCAGTGCTGTCCAGAGATGTTTCTGTGGTCATGTGGCCAGCATGACTAGATGCCAAGGTGCACGGAACGCTGTTACCTTCCCACCGAAGTGATACCTATTTATCTACTTGCAATTTCTTGCTTTCAAACTGCTAGGTTGGCAGGAGCTGGGGCCAGAGATGGGAGCTCACTCCATCTTGCGGCACACGGGTCTCGAACTGCTGAACTATCAACCTTCTGGTCTGCAGTTCAGCATCTTAACCACTTGAGCCACCGCAATACATTGTGTTAAAAGTGGCCCAATCCTGCCACAACATAGTGAGTGCAGACTGAGGTGACCAAACAAGGTTTAGCAAGTCTTCTTGACTCTGTAAATGTGCACAGGATTACAGCATTAGGACTGCATGTGGCTTTAAGATGAATGTTGAGAAATTCTCAAAGAAAGTATTACTCAAGTCACTGGAGAAACACTGTTTCCGCTGTAAATGGGAATCACTGCAATTTGGTGGACAGCAAATTACAGCACAGCTATTGCAACTCTTTAAGTGCAACCCTGGTCAAATGACTGAAAAGTCTACATATGAGCTGAAGAACTGGTCTAAACTAATCATTTCATGGCTTAGAAAGGTGACTACAGTGAAAATGACCGTGGTCCTTTAATTCCTTTATCCATTCCAGGCTTTTCCAAAAATAGCCTCTGAACAGTTTTTGCAAAAGTGGAAAAGAAAAATCTTTAATTTGGGACAAATAGAAGCTAAAAGATTATGGAAAAAACCACTAAATAGGGGGATTTTGATGACAAAGTTGAGAAAGTATCTATGGATGTATGTTCCATGCCATCAAGTGTAAAGATACCACATTGTGACAAAGAAGAGACCTGGAAAGAATCAAACATTCAAACAATCAAACAAAGGCTCCTAAGCAAGCTCAAAATCATGGGATAAAAGGACAAGTCCTTTTGTGGATCAAAAACTGGCTAATTAATAGAAAACAGAGAGTGAGTATAAACGGGCAATTTTCTTAGTGGAGGGTGGTAAGCAGTCGGGTACCGCAGGGATCAGTACTTGGTCCAATGCTTTTAAACTTGTTCATTAATGATTTGGAGTTGGGAGTAAGCAGTGAAGTGGCTAAATTTGCGGATGATACGAAGTTGTTCAGGGTGGTGAAAACCAGGGAGGATTGTGAGGCACTCCAAAGGGATCTGTCAAGGATGGGTAAATGGGCATCAACATGGCAAATGGGGTTCAATGTGGCCAAGTGCAAGGTGATGCACATTGAAGCCAAAAATCCTAAATATAAATACACATTGATGGGGTCTGAACTGGCAGAGACTGAACAAGAGAGAGATCTTGGAGTTGTAGTAGATAACTCACTGAAAATGTCAAGACAGTGTGTTGACTGCAATAAAAAAGGCCAATGCTATGCTGGGGATTATTAGGTAGGGTATTCAAAACAGATCAGCCAATATCATAATGTCCCTATATAAATCAATGGCGCGACCTCATTTGGAATACTGTGTGCAGTTCTGGTCACCACACCTTAAAAAGGATATTATAGCTTTGGAAAAAGTGCAGAAAAGGGCAACTCAAATGATAAAAGGGTTGGAACACTTTCCCTATGAGGAAAGGTTAAAGCGCTTAGGGATCTTTAGCTTGGAGAAACGACGACTGAGGGGTGACATGATCGAGGTTTATAAGATTATGCATGGGAAAGAGCAGGTAGAGAAAGAGGTACTTTTCTCCCTTTCTCACAATACAAGAACTCGTGGGCACTCCATGAAATTGCTGAGCGGTCGGGTTAGAACGGATAACAGGAAGTACTTCTTCACCCACAGAGTGATTAACACTTGGAATTCACTGCCACAGGAAGTGGTGGCGACTACGAGCATGGACGGCTTCAAAAGGGAATTACATAAGCATATGGAGTAGAGGTCCACCAGTGTTTATGAAAGTTGTACAAATTCTAGTTTATTTTTAATTGCATACATTTTACCTTTGCACGGTTAACACTTCCTTGAGTTAAGCCTCTTCCACAACAGTTAACAACTATTGTATGTTTCCAAAGGGTCTTGAAAACCCCATGGGTGTTGATCTCTGGTAAGTATGTTAAGTATCAGGACGTTACAGAGGTTAAGAGAACACTACTTGCATCTCTAAATAGTTCAGGCACTGCTGCCACCACAATATCGAGAATCAACCAAGCTCAATTAAGATCTTATTTCTTTGACAGTATTGTTTACAGAATTTCTCTTTTCATTTTTTTCTCATAGGCTCTTCCCCTAACCTGGTTCTGGCTGGGCTGAGCCCTCCCCCATCACAGTGGCCATTGACCATCTGTCTTGTAAGGCAGGGTCGCCAACTCTGGGTTTGGAAATAACTGGAGATCTGAAGGTGGAACGTTGGAGGGTGGGCTTCAGGGAGGGGAGGGATCTCAGTAGGGTCTAATGCCGTACAGTGCCCTTTCCAGATCAGCTATACATCTCCAGGAGAAGTGGAATAAATGTTATAAACAAACAAACAAACTATCTATGTAACCGGGAGATCAGTTGTAATGCCGGGAGATCTCCGGCTCCACCTGAAGGCTGGCAACCATACTGTTAAGGGAGAGCCAAGAAGGACAACCTAGGGGTAAAGACGCCATCCGGTTCATTCCAGACTGGCCTTCTTCTCCTTCTCCCCTTCCCAGGTCCTCCATTTGTAAGAACGGACGTCTGTACGTTTTGTTCCAGCATTTTAATTCTAGGTGCTGTCATTTTTAAGGTGTTTAGCTTTTTAAAAATACCGAAAAAGTAACATTTGAAAGGGTTTTTTTAAAAAAAGCTGTTCCCCTCTCTTCCCACCCACATATCTATTTGGAATACTGTGTGCAATTCTGGTCACCACACCTTAAAAAGGATATTATAGCTTTGGAAAAAGCGCAGAAAAGGGCAACTCGAATGATAAAGGGGTTGGAACACTTTCCCTATGAGGAAAGGTTAAGGCGCTTAGGGCTCTTTAGCTTGGAGAAACGACGACTGAGGGGTGACATGACTGAGGTTTATAAGATTATGCATGGGAAAGAGCAGGTAGAGAAAGAGGTACTTTTCTCCCTTTCTCACAATACAAGAACTCGTGGGCACTCCGTGAAATTGCTGAGCGGTCGGGTTAGAATGGATAAGAGGAAGTCCTTCTTCACCCAAAGAGTGATTAACACTTGGAATTCACTGCCACAGGAAGTGGTGGCGGCTACAAGCATGGACGGCTTCAAAAGGGCATTAGATAAGCATATGGAGCAGAGGTCCATCAGTGGCTAATAGCCACAAGGTATAGATAGGGGCTCTGGGGCAAGTGATGCTCTGTCTTCTTGGTGCTTGGGGGAGAGCGCTAGAGGTGGGCAATGGCAAATCACCTCTGTTCGTCTCCTTCCTTGAAAACTCTATGGGGTTGCCATAAGTCGCTGTGACTTGACGGTACTTTCCACTACCACCAAGACTTACAAAAAAGCAAAGCTACTAGAAACACAGTCCAAGTGTACCAATCGCATACATTCAGATTACGTCTGAATTTACTCATCCTATGCTTTAAACTCTTTACAGATGCATGAATCAAATATAATGAAAACTCACCCGAAATTGTATTGCTAATTCTGACAAAGATCTTCTCAAAATCTGCAAAGTCACTCCAGGAGGACTGGAACATGTGCATAAAGCGGTTCACATACAGATTTTCCATCCTAAAGAAAAGAAATATGATTATTAGCAACTGCCACCCCTTTTTGTGTTCTCCCCGCTTACCAACATTTTTCACTTTCCTGATTTCCTTTCTTCTCTGAAATGAAATTCTCAGTGATGATGTAAGGACATGAGATTGCAGGAAATTTGAATACATTTGTGGGGATCGGGTATATTGGAGCAAAATACATGTGGTACCAGAGTTCCTGAAATTTACTGGACTTGAGTTCAGCCCTGGATTACCCCAGCACCAATAATCCGTTACGTATGCAGAGATATCTGCACAGTCACACTTGCACAACCTGTTGATCTTTGGATTTGCAACCTAGTCCAACGCTGGCATTGGAAAGAAAATCTGAGAAATTTTTTTTGGGGGGGGGAATCCTGACTCTTTCTAAATTCACAGACAAGGAAAATCTGTTAGAACAAAGCAGCAGCTTTCCCCAGATCATAAAAAGGCACACGGTGATGGAAAAATTCTCACAAACCTAACGACAGTGGGGGGCCCCAACTTCAGGATAATAACCATCCCTAGAAGTCTATGCTCATTTCACAGGTGTTCTAAGTCCCCCATGAATGCTTCTTCCACAGTGTTAAAACCTCTACGCTATAGGCTACTAACAAATCCAGCAGTGTCCCAATCCCTTTTTAAAAAGGAGGAGATCATTTACAACATTCACAACAGAGAAAGGGAAGCATTACTTTCAATACAGCCTTATCAATAATATTATCAATTGTTTGTTGTAACTCATTTAAGACCAGTGCTGGAGACCACTTGGAAGCCTTTTATTAAAGTTGGTGTCTTAAACAAGTGTGTTGGTGGCGGTAGCATCACGGTGGTAAAAGCCTTTATTATCTGAGAAGAAATGTATTGATCACTCAGATGGGCCTGGAATCAGTGCTGGAGTGAGCATGCCTGGCCATGGGGGAGGGGGCCCAGCTACATCACTCTAAGGGTGCGTTCAGACGGGGCGTTTCTGCCGGCATAAACGCGATCAGACTCACCCTCCTGTCTGCGGAGCCCTCCGGTGGACGCCCGCTCACACGCTGCGGGTGTCGGCGTTTTTTTTAAAGGACTGTTTGAGCATGCGCACAGGCAGCCATTCAGAGAATGGCGATTTTTGAGCATGCTCAACCCCCTCCCCTCACATTTAAACTTTAAAGGTAAAGTAAGGGCTTTTTAAAAATTTTAACAAACACTCAGGGCGAAGCTTCGCCTGAGCGCATATCGGCTAGTTAAAAAAAAATGGCGGGGGAAAGCCGGAAGCCTCAGGCTTCCGACGGAAGTGGCTGCGCAACGGAGGAGAGCGATCAGACGCCGGGGGGCACCGTTTTCAACCGTTGCACTCTGTTTACCACCACTTCGGACCTAGTGGCAGAGTGCAACGGTTTAAAAGGATTTACAACGGTTAGGGACGGGAGGCAGATGTTCGCCGTCTGAACGCCCGTAAGTACACCGGTTGGAACCCGCACCCTAACCGTTGTAAAGCCCCCGTCTAAACGCACCCTAAGTGTGTAGAGGTGTTATCTCATTGAATGGGATGCCTCTCTTTATCTTAACCTGGGAGCTGCCTTCTGACCCCTCCCCTCTCTCCCTTTGTCCTCTCCCTCCCTCTACATGGCCTTCCATGGAGACACATGTCTCTGCAGGTCTCTCCTGCAGATGTGATGCCCTCATACTCCCACACACATGATGCTGGAGAAGCTGGCCATTTGTGATAGGGGAACGTACTCTTTAGATCAGGCCTCTCTCTCTCCTTTCGACTACAACCTGAATCTGAACTGGATCTACTTGAATAAATCTAAGTTTACCTTTTTTGAAATATCCTTCTTGGGAGATTTGTTTACTGTACTCAGTATCACACTTCTATGACTGGGCAAAACTCTGCTATATTAACCCAATATCCTAATAAGTACCTGGCTAACTTTGAGCTTCTGGTTTCTGTGAATGAACAGAGTGCCCAGAAGGCAGCACAGTGCCTGGTAGTGTTTTTAAAGGTAAAGGTAAAGGTTCCCTTGCTCGAAAGCCAGTCGAATCCAACTCTAGGGTTACGGTGCTCATCTCCGTTTCAAAGCCGAAGAGCCAACGCTGTCCAAAGACGTTTCCGTGGTCATGTGGCCGGCATGACTAAACACCGAGGCGCACGGAACGCTGTTACCTTCCCACCAAAGTGGTACCTATTTATCTACTTGCAATTTCTTGCTTTCGAACGGCTAGGTTGGCAGGAGCTGGAACTAGAGACAGGAGCTCACTCCGTCTTGCGGCACCCAGGTCTTGAACTGCTGAACTACTGACCTTCTACAGTTCAGCGTCTTAACCACTTGAACCACCGCACCGCACTGTAGTGTTTTTAGAGGGGGATAAAAAGGCATTTCACCTGCAGCTTCCTTGGGCATAATGTGGTTCTTACAGCAGCTCAGAAAGCACGTGAAAGGCCAGTATAACCGTGGCCTTGTCCTTCTGAAATACAGGGAGGAGTAGCAAGCCAGAAGGAGGTGAGAAGGGAAACCTCCGCATATTTATTGGTGTGCTCCAAGAAGGTTGATAGCGCTTCCCTGCTCCTTCCAGTTTAAATGACGATTTAAATGAAGCTGATCTTGCCCAACCAAATATGGAGGTGGTAATGGGGGGGGTGTGTGTTACATCCAGCGGCAGGCCATAAAGGAACCCTTAACAAGGAAGCTTCACAGACCGCTGGTTGAAGAAGATGCCATTTTAGACAACCCGATGGACTATATTGTGAACAGAGTGTGGAAAGCAGAAGCGAGTATTTCCTTAATGGTGCCTGCAGTTATTTCTAAGCCCCAGAGTGACTCTTTCACACTGTCAGTAGACTTCCAGGAACAGCTTGCCACAGTGGTGACTAAGGAGCACTAAACGGCAGGCCTACAGAGCAAAACAAACAAACAAACCTGACAAGAAGGAAGAAGCAGTGTAATTCAATGAGAACTAGCTGTTCCTCTTGTATAGCAAGTCTCACCACAAACACCTGCTTGGAACAGAGAACATCCTAATCCTCACCATTCGAAAATTAGAAGACTAACGGTAACAGTGGTCTCAGAAATCTCCATAACTACCGATTGTCCGGGGGGGGGGGAACTATTTGTTCATAGAATCTCTACTTTAGTGTGTTTTTTAAAAAACCAATCGTGACTTATCCCACATGCTTAATGTAAAAGATGAAAACTTGTTATTTTTCACAGTTTTCGGTCTATTTTTCGGGTTGTTCCAAATGGCTTCATGTAGGAGATCTGGGAGTACTGGAAAGGCTTCGATATGTACCCAAGGTTTTCCCACATTGTGGGTCTGCATATAAAACTATTGCTTTAAGTTGTGCTGCTTCATAATATTTACGCAAGGATGGGAGTCCCAAACCCCCTTTACTACTTGGTTTATTAAGAAGTGAAAATTTGAGTCGTAGCCTCCTATTATTCCATAGAATACTTTAGTGTTTTTAATATCCAGGTTGCACCTTCTGTACTTGACATCATTGGGCAAGAGAGGAGGCATCTTATAAGCTGATACTTGCGTTTCCTCCGAGTGCAACCATTTAGGCCAAAAAGCCATGGCTCCTCAATCCTACTTGGGTCCTCCCTTTCGGGGCTTAAGAATGGGTGGGAGGGTAGAGCAGAGATTTGGTTTCGGAAAGTTACTGAGGACAACCGGACGCTCTCTGGGCCAGGGGCTTCCAATGCATGTTGATCACTTGAGCGAAGTGCTTTCCGGGAGACATTTATTTTCAGTTTCAGAGGACACCAATGTTGGTCTGCAGTAAAACAGTCAGATTCAAGTCCAGCAGCACCTTCGAGACCAAGACGGGATTCAAGGTATACTCTTTTGCAAGACAAAGCTCTTTGACCCCAGAAAGCTTATACCCTGAAACTTTCGTTGGTGTCTTAGATGCCTGAATCTACCTATAACATGAGTATTGTATGGCGATACTTACGCTTTGGTATAATTCAAAATGAAGTCGACTCCTTTTTCACTGTCAAACTGAATGTTGCGAGGCAACTCTTTGTGAGTTTTGGCATCTATGTTTAAGGGGAAGCCTGGATGCCATTCTCCCCATCTGATGATAAAAAAAGAGAACTAGTGAATCAACAGCACATTTGCTTTTTGTGGTTTATACGGCTCAAAACAGTGTCACTAAAAAAAATCAAGCCGTGATGCCAGATCAGTTAGCCACAAATAATTACCACTTTCATATTCTGTACTAAGTCGTGGAAGTAGTGACAGACTTCACGTTCCTGGGATCCCAGATCACCGCAGACTGTGACAGCAGCCATGAAATTAAAAGATTTCCTTGGGAGGAAAGTGATGGCGAACCTAAACAGCATGATAAAAAGTAGAGACATCACCCTGCCAACAAAAGTCCGCATGGTCAAAGCAATGGTATTCCCAGTAGTCATGTATGGCTGTGAGAGTTGGACTATAAGGAAGGCCGAGCGCCGAAGAATAGATTCTTTTGAACTATGGTGCTGGAGGAGACTCTTGAGAGTCCCTTGGACTGCAAGAAGAACAAATCAGTCAATCCTCAAAGAAATCAACCCTGACTGTTCCCTGGAAGGCCAGATAATGAAACTGAAGCTCAAATACTTTGGCCACCAAATGAGAAGGGAGCACTCACTGGAGAAGACCCTGATGCTGGGAAAGATTGAAGGTCAAAGAAGACGGGGACGGCAAAGGATGAGATGGTTAGACAGTGTCATAGATGCAACGAACATGAAATTGAGTCAACTTCAGAGGACGGCGGAAGTCAGGAGGGCCTGGCGTGATCTGGTCCATGGGGTCGCGAAGAGTCGGAATCGACTGTGCGACTGAACAACAACAAATTTTTGCATTCTACACTACACTCGAGTTCATCCCTGTAATTATCTCGGGGTATTTCCTGTTTCCACATTACGTTGAGGTCACCCCGGTTTTGTCCCACACTTGTCTTGGGATAAACGGATGCTGTTATAACCAGGAATAAATGCAAGGTATTGTGTCCTGGGTTGAACTCTGATAAAACTAGGGATGAGATCCAAGTGCGGAAAGGACAGTCACTGAAACACTGATCAGGTTATATAAGCAAAACCTCAGATGCTAGCAACTTTATTTAGTAACTTATTTAGGGAACACACATGCTAGCTCCCCAGAGTCTGGCTCAAGGTAGTGTCTCACTCAATTGAGCAAATTCCCTAGGGAAGGGGATTCGAAACACACTTGTAGCCACATACAGCTCTGATTTGGCAGCTACATCACCCAGACAAGAATTCAGCCAGACACAGAAAAGAATCACAGGTATCCTGCAAACAGGCTGCAATCCAGAACTGTCAGTGTTGGTTCTGTGGGCAGAAGCTAAGCAGAACCCAGGATGGGAAGTGAGGACAAGGTCAAGGGGCAGTCCACGCCAAACAGCTGTAAAGACTGAATAAGACTGAACATTTGTATTTGTGTATATGTCTTGGAAGATTCTGCACTGAAACACCAAAGGTGTTCAGAGCACTTTCCGTGGTCTAAAATCTTCAAGGGATGGTCCATTTAGAGATTAAATCTTTCAAAGTATTGGACTCTGCCCATGTTCTGAATGTTTGTTTCTAATCAGATTCATACAGCTATGTACCCTCTTTGCAGTATACTGTTGAAACCAGCCAGGCAGCCACTACAGAAAGCACCCCAGAAAAGGAAGGCATTCCTGGTTGTCTACAGCCTTTCCAAGCAGGTCCCGCAAAGGTTGCTCTGGGCCTAAAACTGGGACTCTCTTCCAAGCAAGCATGGGCTGCATTGGATAAACATCTTGTGTCTAATTGCTTCTTGCCTCTTCTCTCCTTTCACTGCCTTTGGGGCTCTGAATGTTATCTAACATGATACTAAAGGATATTAAAGCCCTTAGCTTAGATGGTTTTGTGTGATACACAGTAGGCCAGTTGTAAAGATTTAATAAGCATGTATTTTAAGATGGCCCTGGTCTGAATGGCCCAGGCTAGCATGCTCTCATCAGAAGCTAAGCAGAGTAGACCCTGGTTAGTTTTTGGATGTTGTTGGGCGGTCAGTCAGACTCCAAACCGGAAGATCTAGACCGGGTGCTACAAGCCGTGGCTAGCTGGCTTAGGCTGATCCGGCTGAAATTGAATCCGACGAAGGTGGAGGTCCTGTGCTTGAGTTGGATTGGTCCGAGGGTAGGGGTCCCGCTCCCAACCTTCGGTGGGGGCACCACTGGTGTCAGCTCTGGAGGTTAGGAGTCTGGGAGTGCTCCTAGATGCTTCCTTAACAATGGAGGCCCAGGTAGCAGCCACTGCCAAGTCAGCCTTTTATCATCTCTGGCTGAGCAGGCAGTTGGTTCCCTTCCTCGAACACAATGACTTGGCAAAAGTGATCCACGCGATGGTCATCTCGAGACTGGACTACTGTAATGCCCTCTACATGGGACTGCCCTTGTCACAAATCCGGAAGCTGCAGCTGGTGCAAAATGCCGCGGCCAGGCTTCTGATGGGACTCCCTATTTGGGAGCACATCCAGCCTGTGCTTCAGACATTGTACTGGCTACCCATAGCATACCGGATTCGCTTCAAGGTGCTGGTTCTTACCTTTTAAGACCTATATAGCCAGGGACCGACATAACTGAGGGAACCACCTTTCCCCACATGTACCCCAGAAAGCACTGCAATCAGGGACCCAGAATCAGCTGGCCCTCCCGAGTCTCGAGGAGGCCAGGCTTGCAACAATCAGGGCCAGGGCTTTCTTGGTGGTGGCTCCACTCCGGTGGAATGAGCTCCTGGAAGAGACCAGGGCCCTGCAGGACCTTTTGCAGTTCCGCAGGGCCTGTAAAACAGAGCTGATCCGCTAGGCTTTTGGAGCTGCCGCCACTACTAACAACTGACAGCCCATGTGTCGGGATTCTCGTCAGCCCCAGGCGCCCTATGACCCGTCGCCGTGTTGGGTCTTTCTACGTTGGAAACGAACACCTCAGAATTAGACGAGCAGGGGTGTTTCGTCACACTCCCCGTCTCGTCTTCAGCAGAATCGGCTCTCTCTCTCTGTGCCTTTCGGAACTCGATCCTCTGAACTCCTCCCCGGTGTTCTTTGTTTCCTTTTTTTATTTGCTTATTACAGTGATTTCAAACACCCTGTGCTCTTCCCCCAGCCTGCCCCTCAACCAACCTCCCGGCTGCACGTGTCCTCCCTTCCCCCTTTCGGAATATTGTTCTTTAACTTCTTGAGGCTCGGGGTGCATAACGGAAGTGTCTGTCACCCCAGCCTCCTCGGTAGTGCCCGCGGTAACCGCCAGCCTGGAAGGTAAGGGTTTTCTGTTCTTCCCCTGAGCTAGGCCCCCCCCCCCATCTCACTGGGGCTTCGAAATATAGTTGCCCTCTTCCCCCCGGTTGCTCCCATGGCTCCGTCCCGTGTCCGAGGTTGCCAAAGAACTTGGCGCGGGACGCGCCAGTCCCGCCGCAGTGGCCGATACGGCCGCGGAAGAACCCGCAGCGGGCACCATGGTTGGAGAGGCCTGTTTCCCTGGGACTCCTAATGACAGCCTGAGCTTACTGCCTAAGATGATCTAAGAAGATCAAGGAGCCGACTGTAAGATGAGAGAATTAAGTAACAACACCGCTGTGAAACCACGGATACTAGCACTTTATTATGTTTTATGGTTTTAGCATTGTTTACTTGTATTAACTGATGTTGTCGAATTTTAATCTGTTTGTTTACCCCGCCCTCCCAGCCAGAGCCGGCTCAGGGCAGCTTACATTAAACAGACAATTACATTATTCTTATGCTATTTATGTAAGCCACCCTGAGCCGGCTCTGGCTGGAACCGCATTTTTTGAGCTAACCGCCTGAGCAGTTTGCCTGAGCAGGAGAACATGTCCTCTTTTGTCTTGGGAGGAGGAAAGCCAGAAAGACCACAAGAAGGAATCAGTAAATATAAAGGACTAGGGGATTCCCTGTCAGTCTTGCATGTGTGGGTCTGTATTTTCCTCTCCCTTCTCTTTCTTTTTGCAGAATCATGGAGGGAGGGAAGGAGGGAGGGAGGGGTTGGCAGGCGGTTAGCTCAAAAAATGCGGGTTTTGCTTGTAGATGCAGAATGCACACAGAATACACAAATAAATAAACCAAAGAGGGAAAAACCAGTGCGGAGGGAATGGGTAGGACTGCGAAGTGAACCCTTAAGGCTTGACTCCTCGGATTCTCCACAGCAAGCCGTCAGTGCAGAAAGGGGCAACATTACAAGAGCAGCAAAGAGAACTTATAACGTTTATTTGATTAATAAACAATAAACAAGTGTAGCTTCAGACATACTATGAAAAAAGAGGGGAAATGGAGGGCCAGCCTGCCCTAACTTAATAAAATATTATCATTCTGCAATCTTAAAAGATTTTCAGTAAACTGATTCATTATGATGACAACGTGCCATGGTTTATTATTTTGAACAGGAAGGCAGCTTGACACTACTAGCACAGATTCCACGGTACTCACAAAAATCACAAATCATAAAAAAATGGATTTTCTATTTTGTAATCCATAACTAGAGGGAGTTACTGAGGTCTGAAATTCCTGGGTCCTCAAACTTTGCTATTTCAATCAGTCATTACAATACAAATTTCAAAATTATGGATCTACGGATGAGTTAAATGAATACTAATTGTACAAGAGTAACAGATGGTAATGGTGATCATTCATCATACATTGAAACGATGCAAAAGAATTTAGGAGCTGAATGGTTTCAGTTTTTCCAGATGTGTAGCTTTCTTATTTTAAAGAAAGTTACTAACCAACCGGACTTACGGCATTTGAAAAGTTATTTTACATGGGAGGCACTCAGAAATGTTTACAACCTCCCATTTACTCTTCTACATTGAATTATTTTTTAATTTTTTAATTTTTAAAATAGGGCAAAAGATAGTACATGAAAAGAATTCTGAGAAAGACTAGCAATTCTTTTTTGCATCGACACCCACTTCAGCCATAAATGAAAGGATGAAGGAGAACTTTTATAAAATAACATAACAGTGGTACCTAACTCTATACAAATTAAACTAGATTTACCAAACTAATCAATATGTGTGCAAAAAATTGTGACTTAAAAACAAATCAAAATTTAAGCATGTTCTGAAGGTGTTTATCAGTCAAGGTATTTGAGGAAAAGATACTTGGAAAAAATTATCAAACAGAAATTCCGAATGATCCAAGCTTTGTTAGGACTCCCACACAATTATATTTCAAAGAATTCACAAAGGCATCGTCTTTTTTACACCAGGAAAAAATGCTATTAGCATAGAATTGGGAAAAGACAGATTATTTGAATATTAAATCTTGGTTAAAGATAGTCTACGAAACAGCAAAACTATCTATCTGAGTTAGGCAGCCTATTTTTCAGGAAGCTGGAAATCTTTTTATGGATTCTGGGGAAAACAAAGAAGGACAGACTTTGACATATTTAAATGTGATTTCTTGGTAAAGCAATATTTAATTAAACTTAAAAAAGGAATTAGCACAGAACAAAATAAATGCTATAATGTATTGTTTGAGTTCAATTATTTGTCATAATAATAATTTTTCTTATGAATCATACACTGAAATTTTAAAATTGTATTTATGGACGTATACATATCTAAGATTATATACATTTATTTATTTTTATTTATTTTCATTACATTTATACCCCGCCCTTCCCGCGAATGGGCCTCAATAAAGGGCCTCAAAAAACTAGAAAAAAATTTTCTTTCTGAATTTTTCTAGTTTTCCCCTCAGGCCTTAGCATCTGTAGAGGTAAGTAAGGAGGAAAACATACTAATAAATGAATTTGGGATCAGTTTGCAACATTCCCAATTTGTGCAGAAGCAGAGAAGGAGCAAATGAGCTAGCTGCAGGGCTATTTTTGGGCAGGAACGCACAGGAACGGAGTTCCGGCTGGCTCCCAAGTTGGCCATGTCCAGCAGGAACTCATTAGCATAATAGGCCACGCCCAACAGCAGAAACTCATTAGGATTGGCTACATTAGGGGTGTGTGGCCTAACATGCAAAGGAGTTCCTGCTACAAAAAAAGGCCCTGGGTTTTGACAACAAACAAGGTCAACAGAATAACAAGCAAAAGGTGGGTGTGGTTGGATGACCACACTTCTGGTAACATGGGGGTGCGGCCTAATGTGCTAATGAGCTGTGCTGTTAGGGGTGTGGCCCAATATGCTAATGAGTTCCTGCTGTTGGGTGTGGCCTATTATGCTAATGAGTTCCTGCTGGGCTTTTTCTACAAAAAGAGTCCTGGAGCTGGGATAGCTTTTGCATGAATTTTGAAAAAGTGTACTTCTGCAAAATGTCTAGAACAGGTTCTAACCTGAAACTTCCTGTTTTTCACTGTGCCTGTTCCCTCAGGTTCCTGATCTTTTGGAGAACAGATCGGTGCTTGACTGTGCTCCAGCTAGTATCCTGACATAGACACAGCCTTGCAAGTATTGCCTGTGCCATTATGATTAGATCTCTAATCTCTTCAGCCCTCTGGGTAATGTTCAGAATACAGGACAAACTGCGAAGCCATGGGGAAACTCACCGATACATTTTCTGGCGATCCTCCAGTTCTTTGCGTCGGTGATGTTTAAGAATCTGAGTTTTGTCATCCTTGGAAAGCTTGGCTAGAACAAGACGATGAAACAGTAAGGATAGAATATGACCTCAGGCAAAGCTTTCTTTATTAAAATGGTCCTCTAGGTCCCCTCATCACATACGGTGAACCTCGGTCCGTTTGTGGCACGTGTTTATCCGCTGGGGCTTATAAGGCTGGTGGATTTCTCTTGACCACTCAAGCCCCGTTTCCAACTCACTCTCTCTTCAGTTGAGGCCTTCTCAGGCGCCTGCTTATAACCCTCTTAAGGCCTTCCTTCTGATACAGACCCTGCTTTCCCCACCTACATTACAGAAGTACATAAAATAATTGTTTTGTCTATTTGATAAAAGAGACATGTGGTAATCATGTGGTCATTTGTGACCTTCCGCTGGATCATAACATGGATATCAAAAAGCAACACAGGGTTTAGAGACCGCCTACCCACCCACCCCGCCCTCACATGTCATCAGTGAAATGGACCCTGACCAAATGACACTTTATCTGTCACAAATGGACACTGGCCAGGGTCCAGCCTACCTGAGGGACCGCCTTTTCCCTTATGTTCTCCCAAGAGCGCTGCGATCAGGGAGTCTGGACCTCCTTGAGGTTCCAGGCCCCCGGGACATCAAGCTTGCCCTAACCAAGGCCAGGGCTTTTTCGGTGGCGGCTCCTACCTGGTGGAATGAACTCCCGGCGGAGATCAGGGCCCTGCGGGACCTCGTGCAGTTCCGCAGGGCCTGCAAGACGGAGCTCTTCGGCCAGGCTTTCGAGTAGGAGCCGCCGCCGTGGCCACTATACCACCATCGTGGCTGTTTTCCATCTACCTGGCCTTGGACGGGGGTGAAATGTTGCCCAGAAGAGGAACACCATTCTGGCGCTCCGGCGTTTTTTTACTCCATCGGCCCCAATGAGAGAAAATGAGGGATTGACCATCTTGAACTTCGAAATGTATTCTAAATTGAATGTTTAATATGTACTGCAGAGCACCTTTTTAGTTTTTATGTATCGATGTTTTAATGTAGTTGATGTTTTACCTCGGCTTGTCCGCTTTTTAGCCGCCCTGGGCCGTATGGGTAGGGCGGGATATAAATCCCAAGAAATAAATAAAATAAATAAATTATCCAAGTATCTGTGTAAGAATTTTCTACTTTGCTTTGTGACTGTTGGGTGTATACTCTGTGAATGCTCAGAGGATAAGGACAGTGTGGCCAAAGAGAGAGTTAAGTTAGACCTCTGCCCTTTAAACTGAGGAAGGGGAAACAAAGCAGTTTAGGAGAAGGGATGCAACCCAAGAAGTCAGCAGAGAGGCAGGAGGAGGGGTCCTGCCGTTCACGGGCAGTGGTGAATCCCTTTTCCCATGCTGGCCTGTTTGGACAAGCAGGTTGCTGGGAAGAAGAATCGCTCCTTTTAAAAGAAGGGAGCAGCCATTCTTGGTCAATCAGGTCCAGGGTACTCATTCTAAAGGAGGAAGACCATACCCTTGCCATTTTGAAGATAATGAAATCTGGAATGAACATCAAACCTGGAAACCAGTAAGATATTTTTGCCTGTCTCTAACATCCTAGAGATATGGAAAGAAGAATGCTGTTAATCCTAATAGAGGTCATTTCGGGGGGGATCACAGTTCCCCCGGGTGAGGTACGGGGGCGGGGCACATGACGAAGCCCCACCCCCAGCTTCCGGCCGCCCCGCTTCCGTCCCTCACTCAGCCAGGAGGAGGCAGGAGAAGAGGGAGGGTAAGTTGCTTCCTCCCTGCCTCTCCCCACCCCTGCCTGCCTGGGGCCAGGGAGGGCCTTCACGGGGCTTCCTTACACTCCCGCCGGCCTTGCAGGTCCACCGCCGGGCCCTCTCATGGGGCTTGGCAGTGAAGCTGCAAGGCCGGCGGCGGCGCCCGGGACCATTGGGGGCGGGGTGTGTGGCCTTATGACACACCTCCGGTGATGTCAGGGGGGGTGGCCTTATGACACACTTCCGGTGATGTCAGGGGGTGTGGCATATGCTAATGAGTTATGCTAATGAACCCCCCTAGCTCTTTTTCTACGAAACAACCCCTGATCCTAATTATTTGTCCTAATGCTCAGATGTCACAGTAATTTGCTGTCCAACGGTACCTTTTCTTTGCTTCTGCATCTATAGAATGCTTATATACTTAAGGGAAAAAATGCACCTTTTTAACAGATTGGAGTCATTTGGCACTGCTGAGATGAACAGAAGTGCTTAGCTGTAATGAACACGTTGAACGCAGCAGGCGGATTTTATATGGGGACTTGTTTGTCAAAACGATGGGACTGTGGGGGCAGCCAATGACCATGGGCTTGGGACACTTTCCAGTCCTCCCTGCTAGTTCACCCCAGGGGGGGGGAACTTGGGAACCCCAAGTGTGCTATACTTTCACCTTCCTCCCCCCCCCCCATTCCCAAAATTGCATTTTTTTTGTGCATATTTTCCCTCTGCTGAGCAAGTATATTCAGTGGCAACATGCTGGTGTCTGGGACATAGGACTTAGCTCAAGATGGGTAGCTGTGTTAGTCTGTCTGTAACAGTAAAAAAGAGCAAGAGTCCAGAAGCACTTTAAATACTGCCACCCTCTCTCTCCCTATACATAAGGCTTGAGGAAAACTGTTTCGATATATCTGATGAAGTGTGCATGAACATGAAAGGTTATACCCAGAATTAAACTTTGTTGGTCTTAAAGGTGTCACTGGACTCAACACGACTGCCCCACCTGAATATATTGCCACAATTTTTGTTAGTCTTTAAGGTGCTATTGGACTCTTCCTCTTTTCTACTGCTATAGGATTTAGCTGTTAGTGCAGCAATGTAGCCATGCAGAAAATTACTTTCAGATCAGGCGTTTTGTCTGCAAAGCTAAGATCTTGTTTGAAAATAGAATACATAGAAAAGGTGCAATTCTCACTGGCAATGGGTTTGAAGAAATTATAAATGGTCCTGTAAAATAACAGGGTAACAAGAATTGGAGATTAACTATTTGAGAAGCATGACAGTCTTGTCCAAATACGGAAGAAAACGAAGCGCAAAACTGTAGCTAAATGAAAAGTTAAGAAATAACAACCAGAGCTGAACAGCGTCCACCTGGGAAATTTTAAGAAATCCAAATGAGCATGACTTATCTTTATCAAGGATATAACTTGTCTCTAAATGTGGCTTTCTTTCCTTTCTTTCCTTTGGAAATGGGTGTGGAGTGATTTGCAACATCAGGCAAATTTCTTTTCCAGGTAAGCTGGTAAAAAGCACTAGAATTGCTCTTGGAGCGACAGAATTACTTCTTTGTATTGTTGTTCTAGGAGCTGCGGCGGCTCAAGTGGTTAAGACGCTGAACTGCAGGCTGTGGAAGGTCGGTAGTTCAGCAGTTCGAGACCCGGGTGCCACATGATGCAGTGAGCTCCCGTCTCTAGTTCCAGCTCCTGCCAACCTAGCAGTTTGAAAGCAAGAAATTGCAAGTAGATAAATAGGGACCACTTCGGTGGGAAGGTAACAGCGTTCCGTGTGCCTTGGTGTTTAGTCATGCCGGCCACATGACCACGGAAACGTCTTTGGACAGTGCTGGCTCTTCGGCTTTGAAACGGAGATGAGCACCGCAACCCTAGAGTCGGATTCGACTGGCTTTCGAGCAAGGGAGACCTTTACCTTTATTCTTGTTCCAGGCTCTCAAAAGTGATTGTCACACTTGGGGAATGTTGTGTATTAAGCTCAAAGGGCACCAGAGAACTGTCCTAGCTTGAACACCTAAACGATAGACTACTAGGATCCTGAAAGGGATCTATTGAACTGGAGTTATCTTGTAAACAGCCTATCACGGGGAGTGGGTGGGTGTTGGGTGTGGTGTTTGGCGAGAGTTGTCTTGTAGTTGAGCTAAATCACTTAATAAATATGAGCTGATCACTGAACACGTCTAGAACCCAGTATATTTCAGGGAACATTCACTAAGTGTTGTTTAGACTGCATGAGATATGGCCAGGTTGAGAGTAGCTAGAAGGTGATTTCTCCCAAGAAAAAAGATTTTTTTGCCACTGCCATAATAAAATGATAAAAAGTAGAGACATCACCCTGCCAACAAAAGTCCGCATGGTCAAAGCAATGGTATTCCCAGTAGTCATGTATGGCTGCGAGAGTTGGACTATAAGGAAGGCCGAGCGCCGAAGAATAGATTCTTTTGAACTATGGTGCTGGAGAAGACTCTTGAGAGTCCCTTGGACTGCAAGAAGATCAAATCAGTCAATCCTAAAAGAAATCAACCCTGACTGTTCCCGGGAAGGCCAGATAATGAAACTGAAGCTCAAATACTTTGGCCACCCAATGAGAAGGGAGCACTTACTGGAGAAGACCCTGATGCTGGGAAAGACTGAAGGTCAAAGAAGACGGGGACGGCAAAGGATGAGATGGTTAGACCGTGTCATAGATGCAACGAACATGAAATTGAGCAAACTTCAGAGGACGGCGGAAGACCGAAGGCCTGGCCTGATCTGGTCCATGGGGGCGCGAAGAGTCGGACTCGACTGTGCGACTGAACAACACAACAACATAATCCCCCCACCCCGTTGAATTTAGGATACTCTGGCCATGCATCTCTTTGAGAAATGGTCACGTCTCCCATGCAGGTGAGGCCGAGGCGTCTACAGAGTCCCAGCTGGATACAGAGGGGTGGCCCATATTCCTCAAGAGAGAAGTCCTTGCCGCTGAAATGGGTGTGTGTAAATGTTTGTAACTGAACAGGGGGAAGAAGAGAGGCAACGTCCTCATTACCCCTTTTTGCTGCATCCAATAAAATGTTTCTGGGTGGTGGATCAAAATGCCTCCTCTCTGGCTGCATCCCTGATCTGGGATACTAGGTCAAAGTTCCCTCCTCTCCAGGAGACCTTCATCCTTAAGTGCAGGGGGAAGTTTCTAAAGGGGGGGGGTCAGAACACTGTTTCTCAACTCTTCCCTCAGTTAAGAGACTCTGACGTCTCTTTCCAGTAGAGAAGAAACTTCTCACTGCCTTCTAGAGTCCTATAGGGGCACAGAAAGACATAGGTAGGGTTGCCAGGTCTGGGTTGGAAAATACCTGGAGACTTTGGGGGTGGAGCCAGGAGAGGGCGGGGTTTGGGGAGGGGCCTCAGCATAGTACAATGCTGTAGAGTCCACCCTTCAGCCATTTTTCTTCTGAGTCCACCCTTCAGCCATTTTCTCCAGGGGAGCTGATCTCTGTCAGCTAGAGATCAGTTGAAAATGCAGGAGATCCCCAGGCCGCACCTGGAGGCTGGCAACACTATGGGGGGGGGTTAGAATACCAAGACGTGGGAGAGGTTAGAATGCCTCTCCCTGTCTTAACTTCATGAAAGCGGTTGCACAATGAGTTGCTGTAGATTTCCTGGGATGTGTGGACGTGGTCTTGGCATTGTTGCACAATATTGCTCCACTGAGTCCCATGGCAGCCATGGACTAACCCCCTTGAATTTGTAAACAAGAGAGCCAAGGTAGTGTGGAGGTTAAGAGTGTCTGACTAGGATCTAGGCGACCCAAGTTTGAACTCTCACTCTGCTATGGAAGCTTGATAGATGGATGGCCTAGGGCCAGTCACACACCCTCAGCCTGAACTACCTCCCAGGCTTGTTGTTAGGATAAAATGGAGAAAAGCAGAGGAGCTCAGAACTCTATCAATATTTGAATGCATGGCATACAGACAGCAACTGCATAGGGACTTATTTTTAGATATTTGGAAACTGTTTATAGACACTTATGTGTAGATCAGCCACCAATGTTGTTATACTTTTGTTTTTACATCCTTTTCCCCCTTTCTTTCTTTCTTTCTTTCTTTCTTTCTTTCTTTCTTTCTTTCTTTCTTTCTTTCTTTCTTTCTTTCTTTCTTTCTTTCTTTCTTTCTTTTAAATTTCATTGCTGGATTTTAAGTTTTTTCCCTTGTTTTTCCTGTTTTTTTTAAAAGAAAGAAATAAAAAATTTAAAAGATAAAATGGAAGAAAGTACATTGATGTAAGCCCCTCTGGCTCCCTATTGAAGAGAAAGGCAGGGCATAAATGAAGTGAATAATCTCACACAGGGGTCATTTCGTAGAAAAAGAGGTGCAGGAGCTCATTAGCATAACTTATTTGCATATGCCACACCCCCTGACATCACCGGAAGTGTGTCAGAAGGCAACACCCACCGCTCAGGCGCCACTGGACTGTTTTGGATTGCTAGCTATTGGGGGTGGGGGGAACGTGCAGATCTGTCCTCGCAGAGGAGGGAGAGCTTGTACCTGAATAAAACTTGGTCTTAAAGGTGCCACTGGACTGTTCTGAATTGCTAGCTATGGGGGGGGCATGCAGATCTGCCCTCACAGAGGAGGGAGAGCTTGTACCTGAACGCGGGATGGGGGGGGGCTCTGCAACTTTCCTGGCTGCTTCTTGTGCCTCATGGCCCGACCGAGGGCTGCTGGGAGCAGGGGGCGGGACTTGTCACATGTGCCAACCCCCTGGGCTCCTTACTGCCAGAGCTCCACTCCTGTGCGCTCCCACAGGAAATGACCCCTGAATGCTCATATAAAGCTAGTTAAAACAGTTCTCAACTCAGCTGCTCACCTAAAACAAAACTGTGCCAAACACTCACCTCGCCCATCTCGGAGAACCACCTCTTTTTCATCTGTAATCCATCTGTAACATGGAAACTCCAGGTAATCACCTATTGGTGTTTTCACTGTGATGTACTTAAGGTACCAATCATCGGGAAACCAATACTTTCGTTTCTCAATTTTTATCAGCTGGATCTCCCCCAGATCTTCCGACACTGTCACATCATAACTGTCCACCTAGGGGAAGAAAATATAACACATGGTCTACTGGGGATCACAACGTCCACCACATCTCAATAACTTCTTTCCCCCCTTTTCTTTTAATAACTTCATTACTTCACTGCACAGAATGACAACAAAGGGACTACCTCAGTCTCAAGAAAACAGATGAGATGCGTGGGAAAAGTGGAAAAGCCACAGGAGCACCGGAAAAACAGAGGTGACCTAATTTGAGGTGCTAATCTTCTAGCTGTTTCCATTTCTGATATTTGCAGACAGTGAAGGACCAAGGGAGACCTGCCGGAATCACAGCACGTGGAGGGGAAACAGTGTCCAAGGTCCTCACCTTTACTCCTCACCCCTGCATGCCCAAATCCATTTCCTTTGGGGTTGCAAGAGGAGGTAAGCGTCATCCATACCATACTCTACTACACGTTGAGGTTCCAGAGCTCGGGGCCGACAGGGAAGCCTGCCTGGAGACCTCTCTCTGTATATCAGTTTGCCCTCACTTTCCATCAGACACAAGTCACCTTTATGGACCTGTACTCAGTGATGCATCTACACTTTTTCTTTCAACTTTCAGCACAAATCTCCTGCAGCCTGAAATGCAAATACTAAACCAATGTCTGATAAGAGAAAGGCTCATAAATTCTAAAAATGCAATTAATTTGTTTGAAACTGGGCCAGCCTGTTGTAAAAGCTAATCATATGAATACTTATTTAAAGCACTGAATACTTATTTAAAGGGCTTATATCTCGCTTTTTCATAAAGCTCGAAGCAGCCATTAGACGACCCGTCAGGAAACAAAAGTGGTAAAAGCAGATATTGATAATGATATTTATTTGTCCAATTATATTTGCTTGCTAATGATATTTAGCTTCCCCAGGTGCCCTGCCGGGAGCTGCACAATATGTGTGAAAGAGACACATGCGGCTCCCGTCACAGTTTGGCCACCCCTGCTCCAGTGTCTCCAGATAAACAAGTGGCATGTGTTGCACGCAAGCATCGTTCTATGGGACTAGATAAGACTACATAGAAGTATGCAAAGTGATGTAAATGAGCACTCCAGCCCCTCGTTTGTGTGAAGCAAGTTTTACAGAAAAGAAAAATCAAGTCCCAGTCTATCTCCTGTTGTCAGATGATGTAAAGGCTCCCTTGCTCGAAAGCCAGTCGAATCCGACTCTAGGGTTGTGGTGCTCATCTCCGTTTCAAAGCCGAAGAGCTAGCGCTGTCCGAAGACATTTCCGTGGTCATGTGGCCAGCATGACTAAACACCAAGGCGCACGGAACGGTTACCTTCCCACCGAAGCGGTCCCTATTTATCTACTTGCAATTTCTTGCTTTCGAACTGCTAGGTTGGCAGGAGCTGGAACTAGAGACAGAAGCTCACTCCGTCATGCGGCACACTTGGGTCTCGAACTGTTGAACTACCGACCTTCCACAGCCTGCAGTTCAGCATCTTAACCACTTGAGCCACCGCAGTGGGGTAGCATATATTAGCATATATTAGATTTGTACACACCTCTGGGCCTAAATCCCGTATTATTAGTCTCCTGTTCCATTAAAAATAATTTCCCTGCCAATAAGAGCTCTACAGGGCTACTGTGGAACAATGTCCTGTAATGTCTTTTTCTTTACTTTCTTCTGAGTCCGCTACAACACCATTTTTACCCCTTCATTCCTTAATCTCTGTCTCTCTTTTTTTTACTCCAATATGATTTTACTCCCCCCTCTCCTGCAGGCTTTTAAAATCCAGACTCTTCCGTGTTTTCCCGAAAATAAGACACTGTCTTATATTTATTTTTTCTCAAGAAGACACACTAGGGCTTATACCACAAATGCATAGAAATCCTGCTAGGGCTTATTTTTTGGGTAAGTCTTATTTTCAGGGAAACAGGGTATGTTTTAGCCAATTGCATAGAGAATTCACCCCTGGAAGATTTATGACAGGATTCATACCTTTTTACCTCAGCTCCTTCCTTTTTCAAACAGAGAATTTACCCCTGAAAGACAGATTTTACACCAACCCCTAGAGCTGATTGGGGGGCGGGGCATGACAAATGATCGATGGAGCACTGCCCCCTTTTGTAGCAGGAACTCATTAGCATATTAGCCGACACACCCCGAATGTAGCCAATCCTGCAAGAGCTTACAGAGCTCTTCTTACAGGGGCTACTGTAAGCTCTTGGAGGATTGGCTACATTAGGGGTGTGTCCCCTAATATGCAAAGGAGTTCCTGCTACCAAAAGAGCCCCGAGTCTGTTGCTACAAACCTGGTGGGTGTGAAAGTTGAGCAACCGAAGAAAGGTGAGAGGAAGAAAGTTGATTCGATTGAAATGTGGTGTTGGAGGAGAGTTTTACGGATACCAAATGAGCGGGTTCTAGATCAATCAAGCCTGAACTCTCCCTAGAAGCCAAATGACTAAACTGAGCCTATTGCCCTTTGGTCACATTGTGAGAAGACAAGAGTCACTGGAAAAGACAGCAGGAAACAGCAGTCAGAAAAGAAGATCCGACATGAGACGACTGACTCAATATCAAGGAAGCCACAACCCTCAGTTTGCAAGACCTGGGCAAGGCTGTTAAGAAGAGGACATTTTGGAGGTCATTAGTTCTTAGGGTCACCATAAGTTGGAAGTGACATGATGGCACAACAGTTGAACTAAGAAAGCCACATAGGCAGGGGTCATTTCCTGTGGGAGCGCACAGGAGCGGAGCTCCGGCAGTAAGGAGCCCAGGGGGCAGGCACATACAACAAGCCCCGCCCCCTGCTCCCAGCAGCCCTCAGTCAGGCCACGAGGACCAAGAAACAGCCAGGTAAGCAGCCTGGCCCACCTTCAGGCACAAGCTCTCCCTCCTCTGCGAGGACAGATCTGCACGTTCCCCTCCCCCCCAATAGCTAGCAATCCAAAACAGTCCAGTGGAGCCTGAGCGGTGGGTGTTGCCTTCTGACACACTTCCGGTGATGTCAGGGGGTGTGGCATATGCAAATAAGTTATGCTAATGAGCTCCTGCACCTCTTTTTCTACTAAATGACCCCTGCACACAGGAGAGTCCCAACAATAGTGGCATGGCTCCAAATAGAACTTTTCCATGGGTAGAAGGGATTTTTGCCCACATGACTTTCTCCTTTTGCCCTGTTGCTGCAGCCTCCCCTCCCCCCGCTGTTCCTAGCATCCAAGGCATCCAAGGACCACCTCTGCCAGTAGGAGACCATGAAGCAGAGATGCCTCTGGTCTGGTTATCCTGACACCCTGTGACCACTTCCATGTTGTAGAATAATTTTCCAAGAGAAAACTAGGATTCGTGTTTCTTTTGCAGCTCCGATGGTCCTGTAAAATAGAACTCTTTAGAAGAGCCTTTGGATCAAGATGATTGCTCTGTAGGTGTCTTGAAAGACTGCAGTCTTATCTGGATTTTAAGTTTTTTCTGCTGTTTGTTTTAATTCTGATTTTTTTAATGATGTTCCTTGTGCTGATTTTATTGTTGTTATGTTACCTGCCTTAGGTCCCACGTATCTCAGAGAAAGGTGCATTTATAAATGTTTTTAAACACATCATTATCTACTTTTACAAAGTCTGGTTCATTACCTGTGGACTTGGCTATCAGCTTTCATTACTTAGAGATTGTATATTCATGTACAGAATTTGTTAAAATTTAAGAAATTTTATTTCTGCTATTTTTGCTTTGTTGTTGATCAGTCGCACAGTCGAGTCCAACTCTTCGCGACCCCATGGACCGCATCATGCCAGGCCCTCCAGTCTTCTGCGGTATGCTTAATTTCATGTTCGTTGCATCTATGACACTGTCTAACCAGCTTATCCTTTGCCGTCCCCGTCTTCTTTGACCTTCAATCTTTCCCAGCATCAGGGTCTTCTCCAGTGAGGGCTCCCTTCTCATTGGGTGGCCAAAATATTTGAGCTTCAGCTTCAGTATCTGGCCTTCCAGGGAACAGTCAGGGTTGATTTCATTTAGGATTGACTGATTTGATCTAGCTATTTTTGCTAGTACTACTCGAATAACCAAAAATATATTTTGTTAGGCAAAAAATAAACCTGCGTTATTAAATACTAAGTCATTGCCCTGTGGGACTATAGCCAGAGAGAGGCAAAATGACCAGTGAACATGTGAAGCTGCCTTATATTGAACCAGAACTTTGGTCCATCATACTCACTACTGTCTACTCAGACTGGCAGCAACTCTCCAGGGTCTCAGGCAGAGGTCTTTCACATCACCTACTGCCAGAGCCTTCTACTGGAAGTGCTGGGAACTGAACCCGGGACCTTCTGCATGCCAAACAGAGGCTCAACCACTAAGCCACAGCCCCTTCATATTGTCAGAGAGGAACAGGGATCCAGTACGCTAACCTGTCCTTTCACATCTAAAACCAAGTTTAGTATTAAATGGTACAAAGTCCTTCTATGCATCTCAAAGGGCTGTTTTTATTTCCTTTATAAAAGCAAGTTTGCTGTGGGAAAGGGAAGTGTACACTGAAATAGGGAACAGTGAACATTATGCAACACAATTTGTGAAAGAATGTAGTCAGTATTAAGTGGACATGGAAGCAGAACTATTTTTAAATGCAAACTCAGCAACTCTTTTCCAGCACGCATGCTCCAGAATGGTAGCCATGCTAGTGTGCTGCAACAAAAAACAATAAAATGATTCTATGGCATTTAACACAAGCAGACCATAACAAGAATTTCCACAATACTTCTCATGGCTTCCCCCAAATTAGCCTTCTGAAGAGACTAGAACACAGTAAATGAGTATAAATGTTAAGGTGGCTGGTGCAGCTTTTATCAAAATCTCCAGCAATATCCACATATACTATTAATCAGACCTGTAGTACCACAGCAGATCCAGGTAACCAGGGGTCATTTCCTGCAGGAGCGCACAGGAGCGGAGCTCCGGCAGTAAAGAGACCAGGGGGCGGGCACATGCAACAAGCCCCGCCCCCTGCTCCCAGCAACCCTGGGCCACAAGGAGCAAGAAGCAGCCAGGTAAGTTGCAGAGCCCCCCCCCCAAGATAGGAATCCAAAATAGTCCAGTGGCACCTTAAGGCCAAGGTTTATTCAGGTACAAGCTCTCCGTCCTCTGTGAGGGCAGATCTGCATGTGTAGCTAGCAACCCAAAAAGAGCCCATTGGGGCCTGGGCGGTGGGTGTTGCCTTCTGACACACTTCCGGTGATGTCGGGGGGGGGGGCATATGCAAATAAGTTATGCTAATGAGTTATGCTAATGAGCTCCTGCACCTCTTTTTCTACGAAATGACCCCTGCATGTAACTACCATTTACTCTAGTGACGTTGCCAGGTCCCCCCCGGCCACTGGTGGGGATGAGAAAGATAGGGCGGCCAGATCCAGGCTGGGAAACTGGAGACTTGGAGAGTGTGGAGAGGAAAAGGACCTCAGTGGTGTACAATGCCACAGAATCCACCCTCCAGGGGAATTGAACTCTGTAATACGGAGATGAGCTGTAATTCCAGGGGATCCCCAGGTCCCACCTGGAGGCTGGCATCCCTACTGGCATGCCCTCCCCATTCTGATATTCCCATCAAGTTTCATGCATTCTAGAGCAGAGGAATCTGGTCAATTCTGGAGACTGGAGAACACTGCGGCCTATTCTCACTGTGATAAGGATCAGAATGGCACCTGGTATTTTTGGCCAGTGTGTGACACAGAGTGTTGGACTGGATGGGCCATTGGCCTGATCCAACACTGGCTTCTCTTATGTTCTTAGAATGAGACGTGTCAGATATGACCTTCGGACTTTGCATATTTCTTACCCTCACAGTACGTTTGACATCCAAATTTCCCAGACTGATTTTGCTATCTCAAAATTCCACCATCGATTTGAATAACTCAAGAGGAAGTGAGAGCTGAAACAATGGGACTAAGGCAGCACGCGCAAAAGACAGGCAAAAAAGTCACTAATGAAATACTGACTTCACTCCTTAACTCTTTTGTCCCAAAGGTTACATTTAGAGTTTAGCCAGACTGTGTTCGATACCGTGTTTTTGGTTCACGTCTTCTTCTAAATAGGGATTGTTCAAGGGAACGAAGGTGGATGATGGAAAAAACAACACTAGACATAATTGCATCTATCCAGAACTGGACATAATTGCATGTATCCAAACACACCATTTCTTGGATGGAATTCTATTTGTGATGACGACTGGGAGGAGGAGGAGGAGGAGATTGGATTTACACTCCACCCTTCACTCGGAGTCTCAGAGCGGCTTAAAAACTCCTTTCCCTTCCCCTCCCCACAACAGACACCCTGTGACCAATGCTCCCTCTAAGCCGTGGAGTCTTGTGAGCAAAAATTGTACTCTGTGAGCTACTGGCATTAAAGTTGTGAGCGAGCGATTTGGCTGCTGCAGAAATTAGTTTGCTCTGGAGCCATCCTTCCTGAGCTGAGACGAAAATCTGTGAGATGGAGGCTAAAAAACCGTCACACTAACTCAGCTTAGAGGGAACACTGCCTGTGAGGTAGGTGGGGCTGAGAGAACTCTTTCAAGAACTGCCCTTTCAAGGACAGCTCTTGTCAGAACTATGGAGGAGTTGGGAATCAAACCTGGTTCTCCCAGATTAGAGTCCACACACTTAACCACTACACAAAACTGGCACTATGCCAAACTGACAAGGTTATTTCCACCAAACCCTCTGTCTCTCACTGAGCACTTCCAAAAAAATGGCATTGTGAGAAGCAAGAAGCTGTAGATGAGAATGGAGGAAGCTTGTGAACAACTGGGGAGTTCCTCCGCAATCACCTTGGTGGTGGTGGGGGGGCTTGTTGCCTTCTCCAGGGTCATATCTGACTAGTACGAAGAAAACGGCTTGTGCTTTTCACAGCAACCTGATGCACAAAAGTCATCAAGTGATGGTTTTTGCAACACAGAAATACACACAACCACTTGCTGATGTCTGCATGTCAAAAGCTACTCTTCAAGGGGATTAAGACCGCACATTCAGAGGTAGGTCTCAAATAACCAAGGAAGACTTAAACTGTGCCAAACATATACTACTACTGACACTGTTAAACTCCTGGTGCTGTAGATGAGAATGGAGGAAGCTTGTGAACAACTGGGGAGTTCCTCCGCAATCACCTTGGTGGTGGTGGGGGGGCTTGTTGCCTTCTCCAGGGTCATATCTGACTAGTACGAAGAAAACGGCTTGTGCTTTTCACAGCAACCTGATGCACAAAAGTCATCAAGTGATGGTTTTTGCAACACAGAAATACACACAACCACCTGCTGATGTCTGCATGTCAAAAGCTACTCTTCAAGGGAATTAAGACCGCACATTCAGAGGTAGGTCTCAAATAACCAAGGAAGACTTTAACTGTGCCAAACATACACTACTGACACTGTTAAACTCCTGGGGTTTGGTTGCAGGGATTCCCACTAATTATCAGTAGGCTGATGTGATATTACTGGCTGTGGACTTTCACACTGATGTTTCCTGGTTCTGGACATGGCTCGTCCTTCGCAGACCGGCTGCGGGCTGTCCTGCAGCGCTTCGACACGGCCGGGCTTAAAGTCAAGCGTGACTTTCATGTTAAGACTTATCCTCACAAGGTTGTTGTGAGGATAAAACAGAAGGGAACGTTGCAAGCTGCTCTGGGTCCCCACTGAAAGGCAGAGTCTAAATGAAAGAATTACATCCCCTATATCCTCCAGACATAGACAAGGCCCACATCCTGTTGCTTGCTTTAGATTCCTCCACCTTTTTAGCCTGCTATAGAAATTAGTTAATGTTTGGAAATAAAGGATAAAACAGAAGGGAACGTTGCAAGCTGCTCTGGGTCCCCACTGAAAGGCAGAGTCTAAATGAAAGAATTACATCCCCTATATCCTCCAGACATAGACAAGGCCCACATCCTGTTGCTTGCTTTAGATACCTTTTTCGCCTGCTATAGAAATTAATGTTCGGAAATAAACACACCAAACCAAGAAAAAAGGGTAATGTGTTTGTGTGAACCTTCAATTTTCTTAAGTCTACCAACATAAAAATGGAAGTCCAAAAACAGGAGTTATTGATCTTTCAGAAACTGATTCTGATTAGCAAAAGTTCAGGGTAGTATTTTAAAAGATAATGATTCGGATCCTGGCTAAATCTCTTGCGCACCGAAGCACAACTTTTCTACCTTCTGCTTTTCTACCCACGCAACAGAGATGCACTGTACTAAATGATCCACAAAGGTACTTGGAAAAATTATTAGAGACTATGGTCTATACTACCGAGTACAGCTTGCTGAAACTAGAATCCAACTGTGGAATCATCATTTAATGTTCAAGTCCAGTGGCACCTTTAAGACCAGCAAAATATTATTCAAGGTATAAGCTTTTGTATGTATGTGCACACTTCTTCAGATACACTGAAATAAAAGTATCTGAAAAAGTGTACATCCACACAAAAGTTTATACCTTGAATTAAACCACCATCAGCATTTTATCTTTTTATATGTATTTATATGTCGTTATATCATTTGTTGCATACTATGTTATTGCATTGTTTCAATGTATCTGTATTTTAACGTATTTTAACCTATTGTAAGCCGCCCTGAGCCAGCTACGCAAGGAGGGAGGGGTATAAATCGAATAAATAAAATAAATTTTGTTGGTCTTGAAGGTGCCACTGTACTTGAATTTTGTTGTGCTGCTTCGGACCAACACAGCTGCCCACCTAAATCATTTCATGTTAAGACTTATGCTTTGCTTCAGTTCTGTTTTTAGAATTCTGGTTGGTTCTACAACCTTAATCCTATTGCACTGTTTACTGAATGTCCTATATGTTGACTGTATTAACTCATTCTGTGTAATCTGCCTTGAGTCCAAGTGAGAAAAGCGGACTATAAATAGTGTAAATAAATACCCTCTAAAGTCCCAAATGCCTCCCAAAATACTGTTTGTGGGGGATGTGGGGTCCCCCCCCAGGATCAGCATGAGAGGAAGGCTCCCATGGGACAGAGTAATTGGAGAAAATCAACCCCCCCATGCACTTGGATTTCCTTTACCAGATCCAACACTTATTATTTACTTTTTAAATTAAAAGATGTTACCATAGCATTTGCTGCAGGAGGAGAATGTACTAAAGAGGTCAACCTTATTCTAAACTTTAGCTCAGTATCCACATTAACTAATAGCTCTCAAAACCTCTGTAGAAAGTCTGGGGGAAACTGTACACCAACTCCACTTTGTTGAACTTGTGGGCACTTTGGAATTTTAAGAACAGTTTGTGATGTCCCACTGGAAACAGCTGAAAAAGTCTTCACACATTTTGAATGGGGAAACACCTGCGCGAAGAAGTATTTAACCCATTCTGAAGGAGAATATATTTCCTACAAGTTCAGAGCAAACCCCACCTCAGTTTTCCTGTCAGAAAATTATGGGGGGGGGGGAGTCCTCAACCCCTCCATCGTTCCACTTTTTCCCAGGCCTTCTTTCCTCTACTACCACAGTAATCCATGAAGATAGATTCAGGTGGGTAGCTGTGTCAGTCTGAAGCAGCAGAACAAAGTTTGAGTAGGCTGTGGACACACGGCACTGTAAATGCGCCTTGTTCCCGCTTTAATTTAAATGGGAATATTTTGTTCTGGTTTTGCATGTCTACACCACCCCTCAAGAGCCATCGATCTTATGGGCTGCTGGCCATCCCCCTTGCCCTCATTCCCGTCTGGCGGCAGCAGCAGCTGCTCCTGGGCGGGGCCGTCCTTGCCATCGGTCCAGTCACCGCCGGCCTGGCACGCCTTCTCCCAGCGCTTCTGGGCGGCCAGGAGGTTGAGGCCCAGCAGAAAGGCGCATGGCGTGGGCCGCTTTAACGTGCTGCTCGGGCGCCGTCTCCGCCACCTCCTTGCCACCCCCATCCAGGCTGGCCCCCCCCTCTCGTCCCCGCCTCCACCAGGATGCTGTAAGCACTGACATTTTTTTAAATGGATTTATTAAGCGCATGTATGCCCATGCGCTCAAACCAGAAGCTTTCCTTTTTTTTTTAACCTACAGAGAGCAGTCAGATGGCCCTATTTGCAATCATGGAAAAAGAGGGCTGTCCATATAGGCGAAATTGCACGTTCAAAGCACAAGAGCCAGGAAAGTACTTGATTTTCCCGGGGTCAGGAAAACCCGCAAGTATTGCGGGAGTAATGCGAGAGTGAGCCTGCTTTGGTGCGGGAGGCGGATTGGCGCATGTAAACAGAAACTTTAAATGCGGGAGGACTCAGAAGGGTGTAACCCTATAGACTTGCACTGTTAACCTCAGTAAATAGGTTTTAATTTTGGAAGTTAGAGGTGAATTCCTCAATTCCTAGGGTTAAGAGAAAACACCATTAAGCTGTTATATCATTGACACCTTTCCCCTGCCAGATTGGCAAGAATATATGCAGACCTTAGTAATCATTACTGGTGTGGAATGTGGATTTCATACATATGTGGTGGATGTGCAGTAGGGCAGTGAAATTTTGGGGAAAGGTAGTGGTATTGCTCTTAAAAGGAATTAGGTATAATACTGAAATTACACCAGAATTAATTTTAATAAAAATATATAGCACCTGTCCTTAAGAAATACAGTGTAGTGTCTTTGTATGTTGTTACAGATGCTAGATCGACACTGGCTAAAATGTGGGAGTTGAAGAAGATTTCAAGACTGAGAGCCAGTTTGGTGTAGTGGTTAAGTGTGTGGACTCTAACCTGGGGTAACCCGGTTTGATTCCCCACTCCTCCACTTGCACCTGCTGATGAGACCTTGGGTCAGTCACAAGCTCTGGCACAGCTGTTCCTGAAAGAGCAGTTTGTGTCAGAGTTCTCTCAGCCCCACCCACCTCATAGGGTGTCTGTTGTGGGGAGGTGTCCCCAACCTGAACAGCTTCTGGTCCACACAGGCCCTGAAACCTCACAAATCAACTTTCCCAAGGTGGTAAGGCACGGCAACATTTGTGCCTGCTCTGTGTTTATCACCTTCCTGGAACAAAAGATAAGGCACAACCTACCCTGCTTTTTGATGCATGAGCAGGTTTTGAAAATTTTCATTCATTCATCTTGTTCAGTCTAAGGTGCTCATAAGGTGGCCCGGGCTAGACTGATCTTGTCAGGTCTCAGAAGCTAAGCAGGGTCAGCCCTAATTCTTGGATGGGAGACCACCAAGGAAGTCCAAGTTGCTACACAGAGGCAGACGATGGCAAACCACCATCTCATGCCTTGAAAACCCTGTCGGCTGTGACTTGAGGGCACTTTCCACCACCACCAAGGTCCCCATTGCTGTTGCTGCCAAATGTTGATCGCTGCTGAAAAATTGCACGAGCTGGTGAGACCGCCGTAACCATTTGGTCCCTCATTCTAATAGCAAAGGTGTCGGTCCCACATTCCATCTGCAGGGCCATGAAACAAGGCCACCCCGAGATGAGACGAATCAGCAAACGAAAAAAATAAGTTTCTATATTTGAAAAGAAGAACTGAAAACTAAAGTGGGGAGGGAAGAACGGAATATATTCATTACTCTCCAGAGGCCAGGGAATATTCTAGTAGAAGAAGAGGAGATTGGATTTATACTGTGCCCTTCACTACCCAAAGGAGTCTCAGAGCAGTTTACAAACTCCTTCCCCTTCCTCTCCCCACAACAGGCACCTTGTGAGGCGGGTGGGGCTGAGAGAGTTCTGAGAGAACGGTGACTAGTCCAAGGTCACACAGCAGACTTCATGTGGAGGAGTGGGGAATCAAACCCAGTTCTCCAGATCAGAGTCCGCCACTCTTAACCACTATGCTATGCTGGCAACGGCAAGCCACCTCTGAATGTATCTTGCCTTGAAAACCTCACCAGGGGTTGCCCTAAATTGGCTGCAACTTGACTTGAACCTTATATGTGCCCAACTAAGGTATATTTAGTTCGTATTTCCAGCTTGCTACTCTGACACAGGAACTGCGGTGGCTCAAGTGATTAAGACACTGAACTGCAGGCTGTGGAAGGTCAGTAGTTCAGCAGTTCGAGACCCGAGTGTGC